CAGGATTTTAGTGTGCAAGAACTGTAAAATGGATGTGATCCCTGGGTTTTAGGACAGAACCACTGAGCTAGAAATATGATGGCTTATTGCCTTTTGGTGAATATCCAAAGGAATTGATATAAAAACATACATAATCTCTGGTTTGTACTTTGGGATCAAAGTTGCATTGTACTTTGAGGAACCAAAGTGCAATACAACTTTGATATTTTCTGATAGTTCAAATTTCTGTTGGTGTGTCACTCTCTATTGTGGTACTCCTTTTTCCCTTCTGTTTCTGTTCATTACTTAGCTACACATAGGGGTATGGACTAAAAATATTGGATCCTGTTGTATGACATTTCCTGTATTAAATTTTTCAAAAGCTAACTTTGTTGTTTGATGTCTTTGTTGCTGTTTTCACATGTAGCAAGTGATATTAAAAATGCAGTTTAATACCAATAGACTCAAGTGGTACTCTCCTCCACTTATTGGTAGATTACACATCTACTCCAGTCCTAATTCATATATAATATTTGTAGAGCAAAGCGATGGATTTGTAAGTGTCCCCACAGTGTTAAATTAAAAGGTCCCTTGTTCTAGTTCTAGTTCTGAAAGAAAAATTTAAAAAATATATACTGCACATGTCACTGATTGGCTAGTGCCCATATTGTTTAGAACAAATTAATAGACATGGCATACTTTTGAAGGTTAAAAAGCAGATAGTCTGTCTGACAAATGTTGTGGAGTGGAGCACAATACTGTAAGTTGACTGAGTCAGCATTCAACTCATTATTATGTATGCCTGTCCTTTCCATTGTGAGGCCCAGAAGAAGCTGGGCTCATCCACGGTTGAAGAAGTTTATGGGTTCTGTCTACTAGTGTGATTTTGCTAGTGCAAAGTTTTTACTGTTTGAAGAACCTATTTGATCCCAGCAAAGGTGTCAGTTCTTACCTTGATTCTACTTGCACATGTTCAGATAACTTAATTACGGCAAATGTTGCTTGTGTTTGTTGTTCCCCAAGTACTTGCTCAAGCACTAACAGAACAGCGCCTCTTGATTTTTACTAGTACTTTTATATAATTAGATGAAACATTTTCTTTTTACTTTTGAAGTAAAATTACATGTGATGTTAAATATATTTCTCCTCTCCCCTTGCTAGAAAGATGGTGGGTGAGTCATTAGGCTTGGGACTGCCACATGTGTGCAGTGGGGATTAACCCTGCCATGAAATGAACTGCCTCCATGCTTTAAGTTGCCCTTAGCCGAGGAGGGAAGAGGCTCTTGCTCTTAAAAAAAGATTCCAGTTTGGCTGTTTCTTTTTGTCAGAGTTGTGATGTTGGGAGAAGGACTGAGACATAATGTGGAAACCAGTTTTGTTTACCTGTTATATATACTGTAATGTGAAAAAGATTCACACTACTTGCTGTCAGGGCCAGGTGTCACTTGAGTTAGTTATTCTTAAATTCATCTGAAGTCAAAGGGGAGAAATTGCAGATGACTGTAGAAAAAGGCAGTTAATTTTCTTAAATCAGAACTGGTGCTTTTAGGATAAGAAAATAAATATTATTTGAAAGAATAATAAGGTGCTAAATGTTGTCTTCTTCAGGATTTTAATGGAGCCATCTGGAAGCTTGATCTGAGTTTCTCAAATGTTGTGAGTGTATTTTCTTTCCTTATTTATTCCCAGCATTCCTCAGTTGTACCTTATTTATACTTGGTAGATAAATAGAGGTGAATCTTTTATATTTATAAATCCAATGAATTAAGTAAGTTCAAAAGGTCAATAGTTATTAGTGATTTTAAGAGCTTTAGTTTGTGTTCGTATTGGAACATTAATTAGGTGAATATCTAACAATTTTATGTGGGTCTTTGATTATCTATGATTCTTACCATAGGATCTTTGAATTGGAAGGAAATGTAGAGGTTAGCTAGTCTGATGCCCTGCTGGTGCAAGAAATCTATTATAACAATCCTGATAGGTTGTTATCCAGTCTGGGGGTTCATGTACTTGCTAAATACCTGTACAGTTGTTGAAGAAAAGAATTTCATTAAAGCAAAGCGAAACATGCTGCTTAAATACTTAAAGCACTCTCTGGGCGGTTTACAAGTTAATTACGCGGGCTACACATTGCCCCCCCAGCAAGCTGAGTATTCATTTTACCGACCTCAGAAGGATAGAAGGCTGAGTCAACCTTGAGCTGACTACCGGGATTGAACCCTGGGTCGTGGGCACAGTTTTGACTGCGGTTCAGCAGTTTAACTGTTGTGCCAGGAGCCTCCTTAGCTTCATATAGCTTTTTCAAAATTGATGCAAACAGCCCTCTGAAGTATATATTTTCAATCTGCAGACCCATGATCCAGAATGCCTCTTTACTTTTCATTCTGGAAGGATAGAAGCTGTAGCTGTTTCTCCTGTCACTTATATAATGGCCACAACAGCTCTTGACCGTAAGTGCATCTCTTTCCTTCAGATTTTTTCATTGTTTTAAAGATTGAAATTAGTTAAGTTAAATAGGCCATTAAATAGACATATTCATCCATGGACATCTTGCAGTGGTGTAGCCTTTTCTTTTCATACATTCTATGTAGGTGGCATTTTGGCCAATTTCTAAATTTATTGATGCAACAGACGTGACTTTTAAATATTTTATGTTTCACTTTGAAATGTTCTATATATATAATACATAATTTAATTGCCAGATTTATTTATCTAGAAAAACATTCCTATTTTTAATGATAACATCTTTAACATCAGAATAATGCTAAATCAATCTTGAATTAATTATTAACAAATTCATGGTGGTGATTTCTATAGCAGTTTTAAAAGACAAAGAGTTCAGTAGTTGATCTTCACAACACCTCTGTAGGATAAATTGTTGTGAGTGTTATTTTGCTTATGGAAAATATGTCTGAGAGATAAATTGCTATTTTCTGTGAAAAGAAGTATTCTGTTAAAGTATTCTAGCCAAGCTATCGTCTTTAGGGAGGTTAGCTTACAAATGTAAATATATTCCCAGGTTCTCCAGGAGTGACACATGAACCAAGTTGTGCCAGCCTTCTGACCACTTTCTTGAAGGTATCTTCTAAAGATACCTTCAGGAAATCTCTAAAGCTACAGATGTTGTAGGAATTTTAATAGGAAGAATTAAGGTTGTTTCAATTTTTAGTCTATTGTAACAAACAGTTTCTTAAATTTTAGCAAACAGTGAGGATCGATCTTTATTTTCTTCCTCTGTCAACTGTCTAACACAGGTTCAGTGCGTGTCTATGACTTCATCAGTAAGGTGCAGCTGGCTGAAATTAAATTTAAACAGGGAGGGACAGCATTGACCTGGGCACCAGCTGTGGTAGGTAGTACAAGATAAGATGAGGAAACAGTGGCTGATGGAACCTATGTACAGTATCTGGTGTAATCTCATATATGAATGGGTAATTGTTTGTAGTGCCTCTGATTTGCATTTTAGCATAATGAGATTCAGGAGCTGATTGCCTGGATATTTCTCCATTCTTCTCTCGCCTATTACTGTATTCTACGAGTTTCCTTTATAGGTCATCAGGTATAGCAGCCATTTCTAATTTCCATTTACCAATACTTTTCTGTAGAGTAGCTTAAGTAATTTTCCATGGTTTCAAATGAAGTGATGAGTTTTCAAGAAGTAGAAAAAAATATGTGTTCTGATTACCCATTGCATTGAAAGCATGCATTCAAATTCCTCTTTCTGTCTGAACAAGAAAAGTTTACTTATTTATATGTCCAAATTGTGCCCTTTTTAAAAAAAGAGCTTTAAGCCACAGCCATCCTGGACGTTGAGATGGCAAATTGTGGTCTTTCAGCTGAAATTGGACTCCAGTTTCTGTCAGCATTAGCTATCATGACCAGTGGTCAAAGATAATGGAAGCAGTGGAAGAATAACATCATGTCTTGCATACAGCTGTGCTATATGTGTTCACCATGTAAATCAATGGTCCCCAACCTTTTTGGAACCGTGGACTGGTTGAGGTGGGTGTGCTCCATGCGCAGGTGAGGCGTGGGGGCGTGTTGCGCTTGCTCGCATGCACGTGAGCATGACCCATCCCCTGCATGAGTGCGACACCCTCCCCATGAGCATGACACGCCCCCCGCAAGTGTGACACACCCACTGTGTTGGGGGTCCGATCCATCTCTGCAGCCCAGTTCCAGGAACCCCACAGAGTGGCACCGGGCCACAGACCGGGGGTTGGGGACCCTTGATGTAAATGATAATTATTTTTGGTCTTACTGCCCCTTTTTATCTTATAAGAGTGGAGTCATGGAGATACTGTTCTAGTATTTTCTGAGAAGTTGAATGGGGAGAGGAAGGTTTAACATTTTAAATTATGTTCTGATTTTGTGGTTTTTTATGTTCATGTATATCCAGTCCCAAGTCTTTTAGTTATGTAGGGATAAAAATAAAAAATGTATTCCAGAATTGGTATTCTGGACAGAATTAAGTCACAAATAACAAAGTATTAAATTAGCTGTTCATCATTGTTTTAATAACACATATTCTCCTTTCCAAAGGCAAATCCCAAAGGAGGTGTAATTGCTGTTGGTTTTCAAGATGGTGTTGTCCGTATTATTGAACTTTATAATCCTAAAGGACTCCCTGTTGTTTCTGGACGGGATAATGTATCGGATGCAGCCATGCGTCTGAAACAAGCTTTCAAACCTCATACCACTGTAGTTTCAGCATTGGCTTATGAGCGCAATGGAGAAGTGCTTGCTACTGGGGTATGTTTTGACTTTTAAAAAAATTAGATTTAAATTGTGTTAATAGTTTTCTTATATTTTTTTAAAAAAATATGTTAGCAACATCCATGATGCCCTTTATTCTAATCCTGATTAATTGTGGTCTGGACCCAGAATCCAGACCTGAAAGGAATTTGTGGAGTTCAGCCTGAAAGGAATTTCTGAGATGAGATTGGCAAAGCCTCTGTCTTGTTCTGGGGTTCATTGGCTATGCCAAGTACAACTGATGAAGTTGACTTTTGCATCTGAAATGTCATAGTAAAATAAATTAGTTTGTTGTAGTACGAAAGGTTGTCTTTTGCAGAATCTAGCAATTATGACTACCCATGTGGAATGCATGGCTTTAGTAAATTTTGCATCTTTTCTTTTTCAGAGTAGAGATAAAACTGTTTTTTTCTTTTCTGTTGATGACAAATATGAGCCAATTGGATTCATTAGTGTTCCAGGGCCTGTACAGGCATTGCAGTGGTCTCCCCTTTCTCATGTGAGTAAATCATTTATTTTGTAATATATCTATCTTTTTTTTTACCATATACTCTGATCCTGTGCTGAACGATCAGTGTCTGATATTTTTAAATGGCATTTATATATTGTTGATGTTGTGTAGTCATTTAGTCGTGTCCGACTCTTCGTGACCCCATGGACCAGAGCATGTCAGGCTCTCCTGTCTTCCACGGCCTCCTGAAGGTTTCAGAAGAGAAAAAATTAAAAAAATAAATAAATAAAAGACAAGTCATACTGAGAAGCCTGCACCTTCTTTTAATGCAGTGGTTCTTAACCTTGGGTTATTCTGGTGTTTTTGGACTGCAACTCCCAGAAGCCTTCACCACTAGCTGTGCTATCTGGAGTTTCTGGGAGTTGCAGTTCAAAAACACCTGAGTAACGCAAAGTTAAGAACCACTGTTTTAATGCACCCTGAAGCATCAATGGCTGAATCTTGTTGCTTAGCATTGTAAATTGCACTAGAGTAGGCCCATTGAATCAATAAGTATTTGGTGATTCAACGCCTCCAGTTACTCAAATTGACCTTCTCTAGTTCCAACTTACTATGCTAAAATTGCTACTAGAGTAGACCAATTTGATTCACTGGAACTTATAGAGGAGTTGACCCCACCAAATCTCCATTGACCCAGTGGGCCTGCCCTGGTGTATCATAGTGTGCGAAGCAAAAGGATTCCAGCAAATGTGATCTTGAATGGGTTTTGACAGTGGTGGACTGTGTGCCTCTTAACTTCCCAAGATCTCTTACAGCAGTGGTCCCCAGCCTTTTTGACACCGCGGATCGATTGGGGGGATGGGGTCCATGTGTGGCGGACAGGGCACCCCCTGCTCTCTCACGCATGCACAAAGGGGTGGTGCTTGCTCGTGTAGGGGTGCAGGCACTTGCACACATGCGTGAAGGGGGCATGCGGGTGGGCGTGCAAGGGTAGTACGTGCAGGGGGGCAGAAGATTTGTGTCCACAGCCTGGTCCGGCCAAGGCCACAGACCGGGGATTGGGGACCCCTGTCTTATAGGATTATCATCTAAGTTTGTTGAGCAAAAACTTCTCAATTGACTAGATCTCTGTATGAAGTTTAGCTAAAATTGTGCCTTGATTTCTGAAGAGGAGAGAGCTTACTAATGATGTTATCCACATGATTGATTTTTTCTTTTATTATGCAATATCTACTTATGAGCCTGAATCTATCTTTCAGCATCTACATCCAGTACTGTACATATGTCTAATGCTTGTGTTTCATATTCTTATCTGCAGCCAGATAGTAAGCTGCTTATTCTCTGTGAGAATGGTTTTGTTGTTCAGGCTCCTGCTCCACACCCATCTGATTATGATGCAGCATCAACTTACAAGATCAAGGACTTACCTATAGAACATTTTCATTTCTGGAGCATCAAATCTCGACTTTTGGTAAAGTGCTGAAATATAAATACAAAAATGTAATTTGTAATCCTTCAAAGCACAAAATAGTGAAATCATTAGTTCTTATTGTATTATATGTGAAATATAGTACTAGAGCTGAAATACATAAACTAACTTATTCACAATCTCCTTTTATAAATTGTGAGTTGATTAATATTTATTCTTGAAGGTTAAACAATGAAAAATAAAGAATATGAATACAACAAGGAAGTTATGTGCATAATTAATTGATTATGACCATTTTAAATATCAGTTGTTATAAATCAGATAAATTCATGAAGGAAAAGGTAACCTTCCATGTACATGATGCTGTCTTCTACAATTATATCTATAATATAAGTAAATTATAGTATCCTTTGAACTAAAATAAACTAAAGCTAACGTTAGTTTCACATCTTCTTCCATAAGTGAAAACACGACTGTTATAGAGCCTATTGCACAAACGTCTGTACAATTTTATACAAGGAAATGTAGAACAGCACTAGGTGCTTGTTTATTTCTGTTCCTAATTCTTTGGATCCACACCATTATACACAGGATATATTTTTAGACAAAATGATGCACATTTGCACAATTAGAAAAGATTCCTTGCTATGATGTCAGAATAATTATCTTTAGTATTTTACTGAATGGGTTTAACTTCTTCTTCAGATTATTGCACAGTATGTGAAATGGATGCTATACAATGGTGCAGCAATTATAATAGCATGTTTTCAAGTCAATTCCAACTTGAGAAGACCCTTTTCAAAGTTTTCTAGATATAAAGTACTCAGAAGTGGTTTGCCATTCTCTTCTTCTGGGACACTGTAGGACCAAACAGTTTACTTAGGGCTGCACAGGCTGCCTTTTCTCTCAAGAAGTACAGTGGGGGATTGAATTCTGCACCTTTTGTTTCACAGCCAAGTACCCAACGCACTAAGTTATCTGCCCCAGCTGTGCAATGGTATATTCCCCCTTGCTAATTTTTTGGCAACTTTAACAATGTGACTTTCAAGTTTTCCACTTCTGGATGGGTTGGTAACACAAGATGCTGCTGTGATAATTTATGCAGTTTGGGATTTTGCAACCTTCCTAAGTTGTGCAATGAGTGGGGAGTGCTGGAGAGAGGTAAATTTGTGTGATATTAGGCATAACTTATTTATATTTTTTGGCTGTGTAGAACAAGTAATCACATTTATGTGAGAGACGAAGAGGAATCTATGAAATAATGCAGCAGTCCTAGAACTTAATCTCTTCATTTGTTAATAAATCAGGTTTTTCATTAAAACATTATCCCACGCTACCCCAATATTCTAAACAGTGTGCTATAAACTGTTCTAGTACTGCTGTGCCCACATAGCAAGTCAAAGGCTGGTTAAATTAATTTCTTTACTATGGGTAAATAACAGTATAAATGACAGTACAGCAGATAAAATCAATAAGGAAAATAATTAACATGGAATTAAAATTAAACTATTGTGCGTAATGCTCACTCAGACAAAAAGTAAATGTTCAGGGTGGACTTCGATGACTCTCCTAAGGAAGGAAATTGTAATATTTCAAGGCTGGGAATTAAGAACAGTGAACTTAATGGAGTTTTTTTTAAAAAAATAGATATGCTGAGATCTTTTGATCTGTTTGGGTGCTGTAGAAAACAAGATCCTGGGATATTATAAATTATTATTTCAGAATCTTTATATCATGTCCTATATTGTGAGATCTCAGGGCAGGGAACAAGAATAATATTAGAAAACTATTTAAATAGTTTAAAACAGAAAGACTGAAGTTCTCTTGCTTTGTTACTCATACGAAAGGCAAAAGGTCTAACATTCAGCTACTTCTAGCTGGCAATTAAGAAGTCCTCACTGGGATTCTTGGGCAAGTCAAGCTGTGGGCATATACACCATCAGCAATTCCCAGTAGTGACTCCTTAATTGCCAGCTAAGTGTGTCTGACTGTTACACTGTTGCCTTCCATGTATATAAGAAAGCAACAGGATTTTAACCATAGTGTTGTTTCTGAAATTTAGACCATTTGAAACATAAAAACAGTTCAAACAATTTAAAACCACACATGTCCACTCTTCTTATTTTATTCTTGTCAATAAAGAGGGAACAGGAAATTGAACGCCGGGAAAAAGTGAAACAAGAGAAGGAGAAGGCAAAGCAGCAGTGGATCAAGGAACAAATGGATGAGGGAAAAGAACTCGAAGAAATTGAATATCCGGAGGAAGAAACTGAGGAAGAGGAACCACTACCAGAAATCTATTTCCCAGAGACTCCAAGCCCAATTCTTTGTGGGTTTTACTCTGGACCAGGGAAATTTTGGCTATCTATGGTAAACCTATTTTTATTTCTGTTTTAAGGTGGAGTCATAGATTATCAAAAAACAAAAACAAAAAACCAAGAATGTTTTTCTTGTTCTCTATGTTGCCGCATGAATGATTTGGAAAGCTGCATGTTCAGGGTAAATTAAACATTGACTGCAGTGTTCAGTTTAAAGACATACTTTTGTGTAAGCCTATATGGTCCAAGAGGGACGTGGTGGCGCTGTGGGCTAAACCGCAGAAGCCTGTGCTGCAGGGTCAGAAGACCAAGCAGTCATAAGATCGAATCCACGCGACGGAGTGAGCTCCCGTCGCTTGTCCCAGCTCCCGCCAACCTAGCGGTTCAAAAGCATGCAAATGCGAGTAGATTAATAGGGACCACCTCGGTGGGAAGGTAACAGCGTTCCGTGTCTAGGTTGCACTGGCCATATGACCGCGGAAGATTGTCTTTGGACAAACGCTGGCTCTATGGCTTGGAAACGGGGATGAGCACCGCCCCCTAGAGTCGAACACCACCGGACAAAAATTGTTAAGGGGAACCTTTACCTTTACCTTTATATGGTCCAAACCCGGAAAATTGTATGCGAATAGGACAGTTTACCCTCTTGTTAGCTTTCCGTCTCACAGGATTCTCTCTTCCCTCCACAGGTGCTAAAAAGTAGGACCTCTATATTGATGCCATTTATTTAATGTAGTGTTTAATACAGTGCTCGGATCTTATGCTTTCATTTCTAGCTCAATTCTGTTCCGACTTGGATAGAATCAGAAATTTTTAATAACATATAAAAATGAGATCCTATTGAATTTTGTTTGTTGTATTGCTGGCATGCAGGATTAACATTTAAATGGCAGAATGTAGAAGATCAAAAGTGCTACATTCAAGAACAACAACGTATACTCTATTTATGCGTCTTTGCATGCTATTAGTCTTTTCCTTCTTTCGTTTGAAATTTTAATGAGTCCTGCACACTTCCTTTTCTGAGTGTGTCCAATCCCGTCAGCCAGAACCAAAATATGTTTACACCTGAAAGCTATGAAATGTTGTTTGTGATGGCAGTTTTCTGTGGAATGGGTGAGGATTAGTCTGGAATTCTTAAACTGTGGTAACTTTAGGGAATCTAGATTATATAATTTACTGTTATGTAAGTAGTTTCCCAACTTTTCTCTTTTTAACATCTTCTTATTATGCCTCTTAGGGAGAATATGATACTGGATTCCTATACCATTGTGCATTTTCTCCTATGCAACACCAGAAAGAACCTGAGGCTCGGCAAGATGAGCCTTTTGATGTTATTCCCATAGAAGATGCAGAGGACAATCCCATTAGGCGCATCTGGTTTTGGTAATATGACTTCAGTAGTGTGTTACTTGGTCAACTTAATGGCTAGGATCTCCAAGAAATTAGGTTTTAGGATGTGTGAAATGCCAGTTGTTGTTGTTTTATATTTAATTTTTTAAAAATAGGCACTTGTATATTTGCAAGAACTAATGCCTTAGATAATGTGGCTGAGCTAATGTTTCCCATCCCCTGAAATTAATTATTTGGAAAATACTGTAAAAATAATGATTAGTGCTAAGACGGGTTAAACTTAAAAACTCAAAAGTTATTACAGTGATTACAAATTACAACTTCTGCATACTCATTCTGCATTTTGGTCAGGATATTGTTGATAAGTCATATCCGACTCTTCGTGACCCCATGGACCACAGCATGGCAGGCCCTCCTGTCTTCCACTGCCTCCTGGAGTTGGGTCAAATTCATGTTGATAGCTTCAATGACACTGTCCAACCATCTTGTCCTCTGTTGTCCCCTTCTCTTGCCTTCACACTTTCCCAGCATCAGGGTCTTTTCCAGGGAGTCTTCTCTTCTCATGAGATGGCCAAAGTATTGGAGCCTCAGCTTTAGGATCTGTCCTTCCAGTGAGCACTCAGGGTTGATTTCCTTCAAAATGTATAGGTTTGTTCTCCTTGCAGTCCAGGGGACTCACAAAAGTCTCCTCCAGCACCACAATTCAAAAGCATCAATTCTTTGGCGGTCAGCATTCTTTGTGGTCCAGCTCTCACTTCCATGTATCGCTACTGGGAAAACCATAGCTTTGACTATGCGGACCTTTGTTGGCAAGGTGATGTCTCTGCTTTTTAAGATGCTGTCAAGGTTTGTCATTGCTTTCCTCCCAAGAAGCAGACGTCTTTTAATTTCGTGGCTGCTGTCTCCATCTGCAGTGATCATAGAGCCCAAGAAAGTAAAATCTGTCACTGCCTCCCTGTCTTCCCCTTCTATTTGCCAGGAGGTGATGGGACCAGTGGCCATGATCTTAGTTTTTTTTAACGTTGGTCAGGATACACAGGAATATAATATATAGTAATAAAAATAGTACACTGGAGTACCTGGCTTATAGAGCTAGGAGCCAAGTGTTCAAATCTAAACTGTGCTTCTTGGGAGAATGGAAAACTGAGATCATTGAAAGCCACCCTGGGCAAGCTGCTAGGTCCCAGAGCACCACCGGAAAGGTGTGGATGGTCTGGATAACGATTTCTTAATATTTTATACTTAGATGACCCTGTGAAATTTGTTGTAAGTCGGAATTGACTTGAGAGCACATGATCATCGTCATTATGAAGTGCTGTCAAATGCTTACAAATATGATACAAAAAGGGGATTTTATTAATAACATTACTACTGCTACTACTGCTGTTGCTATTATTATAATAATTATTATGAAGAAGTTTATTCTGTAATTGCAGTATAGACCTTTGGGTTGTAAATCATTCATATAACTATCATCCATTAAGAGCAAGTAGCAAAACTGTCCTAAAGTTTTTGGGAGCCTGGGTGACACACTGGTGTTGTGATCCACACTTCACAGAGCCAGTGGAAGTTCTTTTCCCTCATACTGCATAGATAACAGGAGGTATGTATGTCAAGCACTGCAGCTTTTGATCAGCGGGTCATAGTCTTCCCTACTATACTGTATATGTGAGAAATGGAAGAGGCTAGAAGAGGATATGTTGCAGATTGAGATACAAAATGATTGCTGTATACAAGAGACATAGCGGGATGATTCCCAAACATCTTTTTGTGTTAATCTATGAGTGGAACCTTATAAAGTTCCTTTTGACTACAACTCACAGAATCAACCAGCCAACATGAATATAAGATCATAAGAAGAGGCTTGATTGATCATAGAAAAATCGTGTTCAGTCCTACCTCCTGTTTGCACAAGCAGTAATGTATCCTCTGTGTACTGTTATTTAGCAAGCAATATTCAGAGACACTCTGTCTCTGATGCTGGATTTAATACATAGCCGTTCTGACTAGTAGCCATTGATGGCCCCAACCTCCATGTGTTGATCTAATCTCCTTTTACACCTGCCCAAATTGGCACTCGTCTCATGACAGTAGTTTATTATTATTACTATTATTAGTATTAATTTTATTTATATACTACATTTCTCCCAACAAGGGACCCAAAATGACTCACAACATTAAAATTCACATAATTACAAACACAATAAGTTAAATATTAAAAGACAAATTAAACAATATATGATTTAAAATTAAATTAAAAGCTTAAAACATTAAAACTTGGAAAAATTAAAATTATCTGCTAAAATGGGGTAAATATTCAGTTGTAATTTTAAAAAGCGTGCCTGTATGTGTTATATACCAGACACATAATCTTCACTTATTTGCTTCTGTCATGTGAAAAATATTGATGCCAGAAGTAAAAAGTAAAAGTGGTGAAGACAGGAAACAGGTTGTATAGTTGGAATCAGATTGTGTCTAGTGAAACTCAGGTCTTTTGGGCATATACTGTATAGGCAGCTTTGTCAACATGTAAGAGTCATGTTTTGCATGAACTGAGAAACTATAGTGATCAGTTCAGTTTCAGAACAAAAGTTGCTGTAAAGACCTGTGCCAGTGCTATTTCTTTATCTTCAATGTGGAGACCTTTTCATTCTCATTCTGAACAAAGCTAGATGTCAGTTTCATGGACAACACCAAGGAAAGTAGCTACCATCAGCTGTTCATTTTTTAATTACTCCTACAGCTCCACTGGTTTGCTAATGTTCTGTGGAATGGACAATGGAACAGTACGGATTTATCCTCTCCATCATAAAAAACTTTCAGCAGACAATATTGCAGGGTATTGGTCATTCAGCCTACACGATAATGACTATGGGAGAATTCAAGGGATTTGCACGAGTTTTGATGATCGGTTTCTGGTGACCTGTGGAGCAGATGGCAATATCTTTACTTATAATATCCTTTCTGCTGAAGATGTTAAGAAGGTGTTGAAGACTAAAGTGCCATCTCCAAGGGTAAGTAAGATTTAGGAGGACATATTATAAACTAGGGGAATATGTGGGGAAGTTTGGTTCATTGTTGTTGTTTAGTCGTTTAGTCGTGTCTGACTCTTTGTGACCCCATGGACCAGAGAACACCAGGCCCTCCTGTCTTGACAAAGTATTTTCTGTCTTGCTTTATTCTATATAAAGCATGCTTCTATGCTGTGCAGATCTACATGGAGTGCTCCCTTATTCTTAGACCAGCTTACTAGCTGTTGTTAGCACCATGTTTATTTAATTTCCTTTTTCCCCAGGGAGGCCTTGATAGAGAGCGAGCAGCACAAGATATCGAAGATCCCAATGCCTACAGGTAAGACTGCTTAATGGAAGCATTGATCTTGGATCCTTGGTCTCAAACCTGTTTTTTGAGGTAGCTTGTTTGAAACAGAGGTGCATTCCAAGCCACTGTGGCCTGCTTGAAAGTTCTGTTACTCTTCTTTCACTTCTGGGTCGTAGGGATGCAAGGTTGTACCTGTAGAAAAGCATGTAGAAAGGTCAGATTTGTCTTTCAGAGGTGCCAAATGATGACTTCAAGATATCAAAGATTCAAAGGGCTTGCCATTTACTCAAGGTTGAGTAGTTTCTTCAGTGCCTATCTGTTTTGTACTCTTAACTTCAAAATTTAGTACAGACTTTGGCAGAATGTAGCGTTGCTTTCAGCAGTATAATAATGGTGGTTTCTGGAGCAACATAAGCAAAAGTTACAATCTTTATTATTGTAAAACTTGGTATTGTAGAAACACATTTCTGTTCCAATACAGTGTAACAAAAACACTCTGCTTTTTCAAGACCCAGTTTCAGAATTTCATCCTTTATTTGTTCCTGATAGTTTCAACCATTTTGTCTTCTCATTATTTCTTTTCTCACATTTTTTAGTATTGAGAATGCCAAGCAAAAGAAGGAACATGATCAGATAATAAGAGCAGCAGAACATAAGAAATATATAAAGAGACAAGAACTCATCACTCTAAGGCATCAGTTTCAGGATTTGCTACAAATGAACCATGACCTTCCCAAGCATATGCAGCTTCACCGAGCAGTATGTTTTAATATCTTTCCTTATAGGCTATGGATTATACCTTAGTGTGTTTCAGGTTTTACAATGGGCTAACAACTAGTTTGTTTAATTTGGACTTGTGTCACAAGTGCTCAGGTAGGACTGAAACATATAGAAGAGAAATCCACAAACATGAAGAGAAAGTATTCTCAAAGGCTTTCACGGTTGGGATCCAATGGTTGTTATAGTTTTTTTTGGGGGGGGGGCTGTTTGGAGGTTTTTCTTCCTAAGGTTTCACCAGCCTCTGTGTCTGGCATCTTCAGAGGACAGGAGTTGAGAACACAGACAGAGTTATAACTCCTGTCCTCTGAAGATGCCGGCCACAGAGACTAGCGAAACGTTAGGAAGAAAAACCTCCAGAACATGGCCAAACAGTCTGAAAAATCTACAACAACCATGAAGAGCAAGCCCTATTTACTTCTGGTAGTTGAAAATGTGGAGCCTAGTGTTTCTGAAAAAGAAGTCTCAGTTGGACAAAAATCTAGGAAACTGGCTTTAGACTGAGTCCAAATGAACTTATCAGATGGAGCAAGCAGGTTCCCACATTATGAATTAACAATTTTCATCTAATATTTTTTTAATTGTTTGAAGGTCAATTATTAATTTTAATTTTATGTTGTATTAAGCTGTTCTTTAAACTGTCTTGACTCCCATTTCTGGGGAAAAAGATAGAATATAAATGTAGTAATTAATAAATTTGACAAGAATATATTAATATACCTTAATGGTTTAAGATCTAGCTATTTATTTGACCTAATAGAAGATGATTTCATGCTGATAACTGATATTTTTGGGAAGTAAGACCTTAGAAGAGATTAGGAGAAAATTGGATTGATGTATGGTGTTGGACAGAAAGTGCATGCAGTTTGAGATGCTTCAGTCCACAATGCTCACTTTTAAATTTGCAAATGCAAATATTGTTTATATTAGTAAATCCCCAGTGCTCTTTTTGGGCTCCATATAAAACCAGAAATTGGGTAATGTTTGCACTGAACTTTTTGAAGTGCTAGAAAAAAACAAACATGATGTTAATTTTCCAATACACAGCAATTTGAGCTGGACCGCAGGATTCGTGCAGAACTGGACAGAAAGACAGCACACAGGATTCGGCTTGTGATGAAAGAGTTGGCTTGGGAACAGGAAAAACATCGCGTTGGGTTGCAAAAAGTACAGGATCGGTAATTAATATTTTCCTAATGTGTATCATTTTTGGGGACTTTTCTTACCTAATGTTTTGTCTTTTTACCTAAGAATGAAACAAAAAAGCACCTTGAAACTTTTCCGTAAAAACTGTAATCATCCTGGACTTTGTTTCCTCTAATGTTAGTTTTATTTTTGTCCAAAATGAGCAAACCAATGCATACAGCATGGATTGTCTTTGTTTGTCCTTTAATAATTAGCAGTGAGTTGCAGAGGGAGATTCCAGTTGCTGGGTTTCAAAGGAATTTTGTAAGACAAGATTAGGGATTTTTCTGCTGTTAGCACTAGCCAGCAAGTTAGAAATCACGTAATTTATAGTGATTGTTGCTCGGCTGGAGGGGACAGTGAAGAAAATAAGGTTTTCAAACTTCTTCAGTTTTGCTCCCTCCAAAACATATTTTGGAGCTTATAAAACACATTTTGGGATGCAGCTCCCAGAAACCCACACCCATTACACATAGTGGCTGTGGAATTCTGGAATCGGTAAAAAAAGTGACTGTTTCAAAGTGTAGCTTACCCAGTAAAGGTAAGCATACTCAGTTTCTCTAGGCATTGGCCCAAAGAATCATGCTTCCATAATTCGTATCCCATTGCATGCCTGCTGGACTAAAGATGGGAAAGAGAAAGAGAAAGAAGGATCCCCAACTTGTTTGTGTTTTGGCTGTTCTGCCCATAATCATTCATTTTTATTTGAAATGTGACTCAGTAGACTGACAAGAGGTACTTGAATGCTGTGTGAAAATTAGAATTATATCCTGTTGTTCACTATCCTGCCCACTTGTATGGGATTTTGTAGCTTCAAGTGCAACTACAGCCTTCTGGCCTGATTTTCAGACTCAACATGTAACTAAGGTTTTTTTTTTTTTTTTGGTAACTACAGCTCTAAAATCAACAATTTTCACTTGAGAAATAAAGCATATGTGGCAGTTACATACACACACAAAGAGGATTGCCAACTTCTTCCTTTTTAAATCAGCCATCTTATTTTTTAAATTAGCCAGCCTAATCCACTTCAAACACAGGTCTCTACTCCTGGATCTAGGGATAGGTTGAACATCAAGAATTATAAGAAATAATTATGTTTTATCTTACAGCAACCATCTCATGGAACCCTCTTCCTCAGGTATTCTGGTTGCCTCTCTCTCTCTCTTAGGTTCAGGCCAAATATATATTGTAGTTTACTGTGTTGTTGCACCCTCACAGCTGCTAGGTTTCTCCTCTCTCCTGAGCCAGGATGAGACAGCTTATATTTCTCCTCAAAAGTACTAGCAACATTTCAGTATAGTATGTTGCAACATAGTATGTTCCCTGCCAGGAATCCTTGTGCTTTGGCATATATGTTTTTGATAGCTTTTAGGGATGTTGAATTTATTTATAAATAAAAGCAGGTTAGAAATATCTAAATACGCACAAATGAAGTATTTAAAATAATCATATCAAATACAACAAGCAAATGTTGCTGGAGAAGACACAGTAAAAATGAGAGGAGATGCTCTAGGATCAGAGATACTGATGAAAGCAGAACAGTTATCTATTGGTTCCTTTTACATTAAGACTGCATTTGCAGATCCTATTTTTGAAGTACATAAAAACGTGTTGAGGTCTGATACAGTGGACTACACTCAGACAACTTTAAGCTGTTGAGCTGTGGCAGTAAAAAGGGATATATCTTTGTTTTAATCTGTCAGGTTCCGAGGTGGATTGGAATATGATACAATTGTGGTCTGTGCCATGAGAAGTAACCATCGAATCTCCACATACAGACTGCTGGCAATATCAGAAAGCTTCTACAAATCCAGAAAACAGAGTCAATCATGGAAAAGGCGAATGAGCAAATTTGACTGGAAGACTAAAGAAGGAGATCAAAGAAGAGAAAGCCAAAAAGATCTTAGTAAGAGTTTGCAGTATTCCTGTGTGGCAGAAATTAGACATTTGCAGATGACCTGCAATAAATCTTATACTCAAAGAGGCAGAAAACTGCTGGAAACAGATTTCCTGTTTTAATGTGATTCCTCAGATTTAAGCAGGACGTGGAGCAGCAACCAGCAAATCAGTGCTAGGAGGCTTCCCAGCTATTGACAGCATCGGGGCCTTAGCAGCAGCTTGGCCACTTGACGTGTGGTGAAACTAGAAGTCCCCACCCCTGAAAGAATAACTTCACCAGCCAGCCAGTGGCAAATATTTGGGAAACCACCTCGCATTTGTAGACTAGTGATGCTCTTCCTCAGGGGTCATGGTAGGATGCAACTTCAGCAGCTCCATTTTTACTTCTTGTTGAGTGGGTGAGGACTCTGCTGTTTCAGCTCCAGCACTGTCAGCAGACAGGAAACCTCCCAATACAGGCCAGCTAGTGATGGAAGCCCTACTGCAGTTTAAGAAAGCATGGATTGTGCCATTTAAACTTCAGTAGGTGTTGTGTCATGTGCAGCACTGTGGTTTGAAAACCATGTATGGTGTCAGCCTGTGTGTAAGCATGCCATAACACCCCTGCCCATGTGCTTTGTATAAATTTGTATAATTTTATATAAGCAATAGATTTTGCTAGTGTAATCTTTTGGTTCCTAACGTTGCTCAAGGATGCTTTCCCACACCAGTGTTAGTCACACTCCCCAATATCATCCAGTAAGATTTGATCAAATGTTACGTGACTTTTCTTTAACAAAATGAATATTGACACATCATATTTGTTGATGCTTCTTTCCAACACGGTAATGTTGAAAATTACTCCCCCCCCCAACTACAAAATAAGACAAATTAGGATGAAACAACATAGTAACTTGTTTTTATGATAGGATATTAAAGAATATAGTGTTTGAGAATATAGTGAATAGTATTTGTAAGCAAATGGGTCATAGGCTCTTCTGTAATGTGCTTGGCTTTTCTGTTCTTTGAAAGTTTTATTAGAACAGTAAGTAGATGTGGAATTATTTCTTTTCTTTTCTTCTTAGTTTCTAGAATTAAGAAATTAGCAGTTCTAGTTTCTAGCAGTTTACAGTGGGAGAAAGAGCCATAGATAAAGTGGCAGAATGAGTCAAAGGTAAAAAGAAAAGAAGAGAAAAAAGAAATACCATTGTGGGATACTATACATTGGGAACAGATTGACTACACACATACATAGACACTACAAATATGTCTACAAATATGTGATCGACACCTTTGGAGGGCTCAAAGGGCTTTCTCCCCGACATTGGAGGAAGCCGTTTGAGACCTCTGAAACCAAAAAGGCAGGGAGAAAGGGCTGGAATTTCGATTTTCCAGCCCTTTCCCCCTGCCTTTTTGCCTTTTGAAATGCTGCAACAGATTACAGTAATTCCATTCCCATGCAATTCAATGGGAAATGATACTTTGACTTATGAACTTTTTGACGTACGAACGTCTTACACAGACATATATGAATATATATTTGTGCAGGACCAACATTTGCAACCCAGTCTTCTGTCATCACTGAGGAAGAACCAGAGCCAGAAAAGGTGCGGAAGAAGCCCCAGTCAGTGGCAAGCCGTATTGTGGAAAATCGAATGGAAAGATTAAGGAAAATTATTGAAAAAGCAGACAAAGCCAAAGCTAAGATTGAACAAAGAAAGAAAGAATGGGACGAATTGTAAGTTCTGATTTTTAAAAAGTAATTACACCAGAGCACAGAGTTCTGCCTCCTGTCCTCTGAAGAATCCGGCCTCAGAGACTGGCGAAACGTTAGGAAGAACAATCTTCAGAACACGGCCAAAGAGCCCGAAAAACCCACAATAACCATTAGATCCCGGCCGTGAAAGCCTTTGCGAATACATTAATTTTAGTAGGTTTTCTGGCTCTTCATTGATTGCATTATTGATAGTAATGGTTAATTTCCTTGAGACAGGATTAACAAATTGTGTTGTTATTGTTGTTATATGCTGTCAAATCACTTCCAATTTATGATGACCCTATAAATAAGCAATCTCTAAAATATCCTGTCCTCAACTGCCCTGATCAGCTGATGTAAACTCAAGCCTGTGGCTTCCTTTAGGTTCATCTCATATTTGATGTTCTTTTTCCTACTTCCTCCCACCTTTCCCAGCATTATTGTCTTTTCCAGGAAAGCATGACTTTTCACAGTGTGCCCAAGAAGGGAAGCCACAGTTTCAATATTTTATCTCCAGAGATAGCTCAGGCTTGGTTTGATCTAGCATTCACTTGTTTGTCTTTCTGGCAGTCCAGGGTGTCTGCAGAGCTCTCCAGCACATTTCAAATAAATCATTTTATTCCTTTGAATAAGAAATAAAAGCTTTCTTAACTGCCCAGCTTTCACACCCGTGCATGGTAATCAGAAATACAAGAGTGTGGATGACATTGGTCTTGTTCTCCTGTGACACATCCTTGTACTTCACAATCTTTTTAATTCCTTAATTGCTGCCCTTCGTAGTCTCCGCCTTCTTCTGATTTCTTGGCTGCAGTTATGGTTTGAATTTATGATTGAACAAAGACATACAAAATCTCTAAACTGTTTCAGTTTCTTCATTGTCAGTGCTAAATTTGTATGCTCCCATAATAGCAAACACTATCACGGAAAAAGAAAAAAGAGAATTATTTTCACATGCATTACTAGAACTGGCCACTAGAGGGCAAAGCGCCCATACTATGTATTCCTCACTAACAGTGGATGAGCTGAGACATCCAGTGCTCCGTCTTGCATGATGAAACATAACCACTTTCAGCCTGTGACGTCAGATATGGTGGACAGAGTGCTTGATTGCTGTCGTGCCACCACCTCCTCCCTTGACCCTTGCCCGGCCTGGCTAATCAAAGCAGCCAGGCCTATAACAATGGAATGGGCTACGGCAATGATTAATGGGTCTCTCCAGGAGGAGCAAACACTCATTAGGCCCCGAAGGAAAAAACCTAGCTTGGCGGGGGGTGATATTGGGAATTATAGGCCTGTCACCAATGTTTGTTTCCCTCGCAGGGTAGTTGAGAGGGTGGTGGCCGATCAGCTTCAGGCGCTCCTTCAGGCATGCCATGGCACAGAAATGGCATTGGTCACCCTGTTTGATGACCTGCTGAGGGAGGCCGACAGGGGCAAAATGTCTCTGCTGGTCCTCCTTAGTATCTCAGCCGCCTTTGATCCCGTTGACCATGGTATCCTCCTGGGGAGGCTCTCCAAGTTGGGAATCGGTGGTCTGCCTCTTGCCTGGCTCCGTTCCTTCTTGGAGGACTGTTCCCAGAGAGTGCAGATTGGAGAGAGTTTCTCGGCCCCGTGGAGCCTCAGTTGTGGGGTTCCACAGGACTCGTTTATCTCTCCAGTGCTGTTTAACGTCTATATGAGGCCGCTGAGAGGGGTCATCAGGGGATGTGGGGCTTCGTGTCATCTGTACGCTGATGATACTCAGCTCTACATCTCCTTTTTCCCAACAACAGTGGATGCTGTTTCGCCCCTTGAGCGCTGCCTGGGGGCGGTTCAGCAATGGATGCAGGAGAATGGACTGAGGCTGAATCTGGGCAAGACAGAGGTCCTTCGGGTAGGTGTCCCAGACATCAGTGGTCTGGGAAACTCCGTTTCACCAAGAGTGAGGTTCGCAGTTTGGGTGTACATCTGGACCCGGCGCTCACCATGGAGACCCAGGTGTCATCAGTGGTCCGTTCTGCACATTTCCACCTTTGGTGGATTGCCAATAGACAGTTTCCACGGTCACGTGGCCATCACGACTAGACACAGAATGCCATTACCTTCTCACTGAGGTGATACCTATTTATCTACTTGCTTTTTTACATGCTTTCAAACTGCTAGGTTGGCAGGAACTGGGACAAGAGACGGGAGCTCACTCTGTTGCGTGGAATTGATCTTACGACTGCTGGTCTTCTGACCTTTCAGCACAGAGGCTTCTGTGGTTTAACCGGGAGCGCCACCGCAGTAACTGCTTATAAATACATATATGGATATTTAGATGTTTTTCATCAAATCAGGGAGTGATTAGCCTGAAGTCTGATCTTATTCTGAGAGTCTTGTTTCTAGACTTAAAGTTCCCATAGTGGTAAAACAGTAACAGTCCCCTTGCTTGGAAGGGCAAGACCACACCTGGAGTATTGTGCATAGTTCTGATTGCCGCATATCAAAAAAGACATAGTGGAATTGCAAAAGGTGCAGGGAGGAGCGATTAAAATGATGACTGGGCTGGGGCACCTCTTTTAGGAGGAAAGGTTATAGTATTCAGGGCTCTTTAGAGAAAAGGTGCCTGAGGCGGGGGACATGACTGAGATATATAAAATTATGCAGGAGATGGATAAAGTGAATAGAAGGAAGCTCTTTTCCCTCTCATGCAATACCATCACCAGGGGATGTCCACTCCAATTGAGTGTTGGGAGAGTAAGAACAGACAAAAGAAAATATTTCTTTACCCAGCGTGTTGTTAGTCTGTGGAACTCCTTGCCACAGGATTTGGTGATGGCATCTGGCCTAGATGCCTTCAAAAGTGGATTGGATAGATTTCGGGAGGAAAAGCCAATCGCAGCTTAAAGCGATGATGGAGATATATAGTCTCCAGGCTTAAAAGGAAGGTACCTCAGAATGCGAGATGTAGGGAAGTGGTATCAGGATCCAGCAGGGGTTGTTATGTTCTTATGTTCCCACCTCTGGACCCCACTTGGATTCTGGTTACCAGTGCTGCTTGTCTGTGAGACTTAATGTGAAGAAGCCACTGTTTAGAGATATGGGTGAAGGAGAAGAGCATCAGGTCAAACATTTGGCTTGATCTTTGAGGTGGTCACTTTGCTGTTTAGGAGTTAAGTCCCTTTCCTGTGAGGGCAGTATGTGGTCCTTGAAATGAACAACATGATGACAAAAGCCCACAACAACAAAAAAGGTAACATCTGTTCTCAGAATCTCTATCAAGATATGATCTCCTCTTGATTTGGTTAGTTGAGAACAGTCCCGAACTCCTACCCAGATGGTAACTCTCCTGGGTAAACCAAAGAAAAGTCCTCTAGTCCTTTCATTTGTGTGGTAGTCCTTGCTGGCTAAGGCTTTTTCAGCCTCTTCCCCATTCAGTTAGGGCAGTTGCCTATTTCTTGGTGCTTTGTCCTTTTCTCTTTTGATGTGAGCTATTGGCTCTACAGCTGATAGCAAGTTTTGCAACTGGAAGAGGGTATCTTTAACCCTGCCTTCTCAAGGTGGAAGAGTCAACCATTCTCTGTTGGGTACACTTCCATTAGAAGAGTATTTCACAGTAAGTCTGACTTTCCAATTTATTGTGATATTTCCTGTGCAAACCCCATTGGAACTTTTAATAAATTTCCATGCGTCTAAGAAATGGTCCATCTGAATTTGGGAGAGAGATATGATGCCTGTTCTGTTTCTTCCTTTGGAGGTAAATATCATGCTCTGGCCCCAGAGATGAAAGCTGAGCTGGGTAGCCATAATAGTTTGTTTCTGTGATGACTGAGGTATATCAGAATAGATGGCTTGATGTGGTTTATTAGACCAAGGCACATTGCCTTTTGTTGGTGTTTGGCAGATTCAAGAGCAAACCAGACGATGACTATGAGGACCCTCAAGATGTGGAAAATATCAGACTGGCGCAAGAGAATATGGGGGACTTTAAATTGAAAACTGCTACTAACTACAAAATCCCTGAACACATGAGAATGAATGCTGCCAAGAAAATGACTCAGCTGGCAAACCTAGAAGTGGCGGTAAATAAAAGACTTGAATAATATGGTTTCATTTCCAGTACACCCTAGTTTTTGCTATAGGGGTTAGAGAAAATTAGTGCTATAATAAATATACTCTGAATTCAAAATCGTGTGCTCAGATACACAAGCAGTTTCATTATCCCTAGTGCCCCCTTAAACTTTTTAATAGGTAGGCACTTTTATGTTTGTTACTTCTTGGTTTTCTTGCATTAATAAAATTATTTAATTAGTTATCTCTTCAGTTTGTTTTTTCTTAGTTCTTTGACAGATGCAGCAAATGAATGATAAGTTGAGCTATGCCATGGCATGGAAATGTTATACATTTATGTAAGATAGTTACTTAACTAAGGAAAAAGACCTTTTAAATTGATGATTGGCCTGTACATATTGAAAGGTATTAATCAGAGCACACTGATATATAAATTATTCATATTATTGATTTAATTATTTGTGTGTATGAAATAAATTTTGAAAAAATATGAGCTTTTAAATACAACTTTCCCCCAAGTTGAAGCAGTATGTCCTTTTCTTTTCAGATCCATGAAAAGAAATTAACTATGAACAAATGGATAGTGGGCCTCCGAGACCTCAAGGTGGCTATTATTGAAGAGATCCAATGTGTGGTACAAGAATTGAAGACTATACAGGCATCTCTGCATCCATCCAAACATTTGCCTATTCCTCCAGTTCCTCAACTTCTTCCTGAAGAGACTCCAGAAAAAAATTTCCAGTATGACAGTGAAATGCTTTTTAAGTTCAAAGAGGTATTAGAAGAGCGAGTTAAAGTGAAAGAAGTTGTGCCTGCAGTTACTTCGGCAGAGGCCAGTGGAATAGGAGGATTTGGAGGAGGGTTCCTTCATGCTCCTTCAATAAAGGAACTTGATACTATGGGCCGAGGGGCAAGCATGAAGTCGGTGAAAGTAGCATCTGGAACTGTCTCCGTGGCGGCAGTCAAAAGTTTTGAGATTGAGCTGCCAGAGCCAACAGAGATGGAACTGGAAATTGCAATGCGGGAGGAGATCAGAAACATTTATCTACAGGAAACGTTGGTCAAGAGGGTAAGAAAGTCTTGAAGCTGACTGTGCATAATCTGTTTTCTTCTTAAATCTTTTCCTAGAGTGTCTTGCACTTTGATATTTTAGGCTATCCATCCACTTTTTTTCTAATCTGAAGATACTAACCTTCACTTACTATTTTCATATCATCACAATCTGAGTTTCTAAGTGAGAGCTAAATGACATGAACAGTAGTAAAGAATCCTTCAGTTTCTCCCTGGCTTTAAATGTTTAATCTGTTGGACAAGACTCTGAGAATCTGAGAGAATTTATTATACCAATCCAGCTGGCAGTCAGAATGCCTATCTTAAAATTTGGTGAAATTTCATATCTTTTCCAGGATTCCCAGACTACAGTAAAATAATTTCAGGCTGACAACAAGCATGGCCTTATTAATAAAATAATAGTTTCAAACTAAGATAGTCCTGGGTAAAATTCTTAATATATGTAGCACAAAGTTGTTCTTTTGTGAGTTTTGTTGAATTTATTTTCACACTGTTTTCTCCACACTACTGCTTCTGCCTTACTTATCCTCCAGATTGATGAGCTCATGATGACCTTTGACGCTGAACTTCGTCTTTTGCGTCACCAAAAACTGAAGCTGGACATACAGATGAAAACTGCTGATTTGCGTCACATAATTTGGTTTCAAGAGCTGCTTCTCCTGAAAAACTTTGAAAAGCATGAAGACATTCTTCAGGAACGTGTAAACAGTCTTGCCAGTGAGGAAGAGGAAATGCAGGTACTGTGTGTAATATACAGACAACATTGTATGTATTGTAGGTTTTTGAAGTCCCAGAAAAGGAGTCTTCCTGTAGGGCATGGATGGGTGACATATGGGCCATTTCCTTTCCAGCTTTTTCTGTGGTTCTCTGGGTTTCTGGCACTTCTACTAACTTTGCTGTGAAAATAACAAGGTTGTTTTATCTCTCTGCTTCTTTTTTGTAAGCACATGTTCTCTGTGCACTTTGCTTCCAAGTGAAATTGTGTTCCTGGAAGCCTGAGTGCTAATGCCAAGAGCATTCCACATAATGTATGCCAGGACTTGAGATACCCTGTCATGACCTCTTGTGGAGTGGGGCTCAGGAGCAATATGGCACTCTCCCAAGACCTCAGCAGATGACCTAAAGGCCTGAACATGTTTGTAAAGAAGGAGGCAGTCCCATTATTCATCATTTACCAGCCATTGCTTAATGTTTTGCTCCACACTGAAAGAATAACAGAAATCAGTATATCATTTGAGCTTGTAGAAGTGGCATATGTGAGAACAACCCTGTACTTAGCATTAAGAGCTATCCTTTTAGGTAAAAAATGTAGCTTGTGGCACCAGCAGTAGTCACCACCACCACTGCTGCTGCTGTATTGACAAATCAACTATAAATTAAATAATGATTAAGTGATTGGTTTAAGAAAATTTGCTTTCTATCCTGCAGAAAAAGAAGAGACCCATAAGGACTTGCCTCTTTCTACACACACACACACACACACACACACACAGAGAGAGAGAGAGAGAGAGAGAGAGAGAGATTATCAGTCTTTTTTATTCCTTTTTCATCCCCAAAGATGCTTCCCTTCCTTTCCTTCCATTTATGCTTTGTTTGGCTATCCATCCACTTATCTACATATTCTGGTAAAAAATCAAGAAAAACATCCCCTTACTTTCTCTTTCACGTTTCCTTTTTGCATGGTACCAGAGAAAAAGGGTGCTAAGTCCACTGCAGGGGTCCCATCAGACTTTGCCAGCCACAGCAATAGGAGTCCAGAAACATAGCCTCAGGGCTTGTCTGAGGCAGCATAGACACTCAGATCTGAGGGCAATGGAATACTTGGCTGATTTATCCTCCCCACTCCACCCCCCCATCCTGTGTTGCACACATGTTATATACAGTAAAACTTTTAAAAGTTATTCCTCAAAAGTCACTAAAAGATTCCATGATAGATATTTTGAATTGCACTCTACAAAACAGTCTTACTGCACCCACTGCTGAAGATGGGATAAGGTGACTGCCTGGCTTGGTACACATGTGCATATGAATCTTATACAATTTGCCATCTCTTGGCATACAGGAAATTTTTCCTTTTAGGAACCAATCTTTCTCCAGTAGAAAATGAACGGTGTTGATTTTTTAAAAAGGAGAAGATGATGATCAGGTATATTGAGAGAACTCGAAACAAAACTCTGAACATTTGGATACAGTAATAGAGATTTCTTTTCTCCTGTCCTTAGTCCTGATGGCCCTGTTCTCCTTACTGTGAGGACATTTATCATCTTGGGTTGCTCTAAAACACTGCAGCAACCACTGGCACTATGAGATGTTGCTCATTTCCTTTAGTCCCAACCCATTTCAGCCACTGGAGAGGACATGGCACAAACTAGGTGCCTAAAGGCCCTTTAGGTAAAAGTAAGGGTAAAGGTTTTCCTTGACAATTAAGTCCAGTCATGTCCAACTCTAGGGGCATGTGTAATTATTGAAGGATCCTAGCTAAGGACTCCAGCTGAGAGCAATGTAAAGGCATGGACTCCCCACATAAAGCAGGCTCCCATGATGAATCAGTGCAGGAAACAATTGTTGTCTTTGCAGGTAAATACTTGCAACCTGACTTGGTATTTCCTGGAGCTATTTTGACCCTTGGATCGGACCTGGACTTCTCTTCTTGATTTCTTGACTCTAGCATTATTACTGCTGTTTCTGACTGATTCTCTGGCTTCTGACCTTGGACTGACTTATCGGACTCTGCCTTTTGTTTACTAAAGTAAATTACAACACTCGCATTTGCATGCGTTTGAACTGCTAGGTTGGCAGTTGCATGGATGAGCAACGGGAGCTTACCCTGTTGCGTGGATTCGAACTGCTGACCTTTCGATCAACAGCCCAGTGACTCAGCAGTTTAACCCATGTCCTTTCTTAAATCAGCCTTCCTTCTATTTTCTAAAATGGTGACAATATTCACATCCTTTTACCTCAAATCCATGTATTAGAAGTTCTCTGAATTTCCTTTAGCCAGGTGGATTAAGAGCTGCATTTACAAGACATACTAGATCCAAAACATATCCAGATTTACAAATCACCGTGCACTCCACATGCTGTTATTTATTTATTTATTTATTTATTTATTTATTCATTCATTCATTCATTCATTCATTCATTCATTCATTCATTCATTCATTCATTCATTCATTCATTCATTCATTCTATTTATATCCTGCCTTTCTGGTCGTTGCGACCACTCTAGGCGGATTATCTGTAATCCTGAGTGATAAATGATCCCTGCAGGAAATATGTAACACAATGACCTGAACATGCCAAGCACCTTTATCTGCCATTATAAATTAAATATCTTTGCGTTGTCCAGCCTTTAGCAGGTATACACTGCAAAAGTTTGTTCAGCTTATCTTCAGACACACTCTGGCATGTATTCTGACAGAGAGATGAGGGTACATCCCATTATAGGATGCCACCTTCTCTCAAAAATAAGGAGCAGAAGACAGGGCCTTACTGTGAGGAATCTTTCCTATCCAAGACGGAATGTAATGTCTGAATATACCCTGTACTCAAACCTCATTGAAAAACATTTTCATCAGGCACCTGAAATTCAGGGGGGATAAAATCCAATTGGTAGTCCTCACCACAGTAAATCCATTTCCTCAACTACTGAGTGGTAAGCCAACAGTTATATACACCCCACTTGTTTAGTGGGTATAGCAGAGAGAATTAGCAATTGGATTCATGCCCTCTTCTCTTTTCCTCACTAAACTAGTACCTTATAATAGAATGAGTAGAAGGGACATTCCCAGGATAGCAGCCCTTCTTCCCCTTACTAAGTTTGTTGCATGTACTTATTTTTCTGAAGCTTCTTGTTTAATTTCTGTCAAACAGTTTGGCCATGGGTGGAACTGAGGTAGGAGCAGAGGACGACTTTACAGGTCCTAGAAAAAATGGCCTTCATTCCTTGCCTTCCAACACGGCCAGGAAGAATTTATTTATTGTTTCTTTAATTTATTCATTAAAATAGTGGTTTCCAACCTTCGGTAACCCAGGTGTTCTTGGACTGCAATGGCCAGATGCCTTCACTACCAGCTGTGCTGCCCAGGGCTTCTGGGAATTGCACTACAAGAACATCTGTGTTGCTCAAGGTTGGGAATCACTGCAATCGATAATGCTTCCTTTTCTCCCAGGCTGGAAGGAATCTTCCTAGTTAGTCTCAATATTCTATTTTGTTACAGATTGTAAAACTAATACAGAAAATAAGCATAAGAAATATATAATGATGATCCAATTATCTGGAGCATAACCATTCTAGAAGCTGTTATTGATTTTCTTTCCATTCCTTCCTAATTTACTTCATTTCTTCATTTATTAGAACAAATTAAACAGTTGTCTTGCACAAATAGAGGAAAAGAAAGCAGAGATTCTGAAGCTTCAGGACCAAGAGAAGACCCTCTATGCCACTTTTCAAGCATCTTTGGGGGAAAATAATAAATTTGCTGGATTCCTTACCAAAGTACTCAAAAAGAAGATTAAACGTGTTAAGAAAAAAGAGGTGGAAGGTGAAAGAGGTGGGAAGTATATTTTCATTTAAATGGTTTGCATGTCATTTTAGCAAAGTTCACAATGTTAAGAAAGTGGAAGTAGACTATACCTATCTCACCTTGTGACATCCACTTTATGAGTTCAAATATAGGGTATCCCTTTATCAATGTGGAAAGTGAATAAACCCCTTGTGGTTCATTTTCTGTTGGACAACAGTCCTGGACTGCTACAACGGCTGAGTTCCAATAATATATTTTTAGTTTTGTATATTTTTGCCTTTGAGAACTTTTGATATTTTAGGAGAGATACTCTCTCCTTTTTGATTGTACATTTTAAGACTGTAAGCTTTTGCATTTTTGGAATGTAATTAAATGTAATCTCCTTGCTCTTTTTGATTCTTAAAATATATTTCTGTTGTAGTTTATGCTTCTGCACTTTATATCATCTGCAATTTATGTTTAGTACTTTTTAAGTCTTCTTGGAGAAATAGGGAAGCAAGTGAATACCTAACTATTAAAAATTAATTAGTAATTTCTAAGCTCTTATAATATGTGTTGCTAATAGCAAATTAACTTGTTAAGTGACTAAAGGAAGTGACTAATTAGCACATTTGCTGTTGCTGTTATGTGCCAGTAAGTCATTTCTGACTGATGGTGACTCTAGTAAAGTTTTTGAGGGATATGAGATGTTCAAGGAGTGGTTCTTCTCTGTGAATCACACTGTGGGTAATCCGCGCATGCGCGAAGCCTCATCGAAATATTCTAGAGCTTCTGTGGTAGCAGGAAGATACATTAGTGCAGACCTCTCCCCCTTGGTATATGTACCTTGATGCCAAGGCTGTCCCCGCCACGTTGAGAGCCTCTATCATTGCTTCTGTGAGTTCTTTCTAAAATGAAAGAAAGAAATTTATTGATTTCCTTTAAAACCCTTTCATTATATGAACTTCAACTATTGTTTGCTTATTAAGCCTTTGCAGATAATTGCTCTGCCTTAGGGCCGATGCACACACCCCCCCCCGGTTTTTCTTTTTCTTTTCCGAACTGGCTTCTTGGCCTTTTCAGGCCCATTTAAATGCTACATGGTCTGCGATAATAAAATTCCATTTTGTGACAGGCACAGTAAATGCCTTTTTTGCCTTGGTGAAGCTCACCAAACCTCCTTGTGCCCCCAGCTGTAAAAACTTTAAGCACGGAGTTCTCTGCAGTCGTATTTCGAGACTTAAGCTTCGGCTTTGGAGCAATCCCTCCAGCCCAGTCAGCCTATGGCTCAGTCTTCGTACAAATCCATCCCACATGCTAAAGCCATTGACAAAGCCATTTCAGAAGTGACAAAACAACATCCCTCGGCCACTCCATCCTGTTCTGACCACCAAAAGTCAACTGCACCCCCAACCGCATGGGTGTTCAAGCCTAAGCAGTCGACGTCGAAATCCTCGACATCAAAAGCGGCCACTAAATGAAAGCTGTCCACTGACGTTGTGTTGGCTCCTGAAACTTTGTCACCAAGAAAGGCTAAGTCTTCGAGGTTGAAACCTTTCAAGGCTGTTTCCCAACTCCACAGCTTTTAGACCCCAGAGACCTTGTCTGTGTAGGTTCTATCTGAGATGAGGAGCGACTTCCACCTCACCAACCGTCTCCATCACAATCTCCTGAATGGGAACAGGGTCGACCAACTCACATCTTCTCCTACCAGCCCTCAACAATACTTGGGCTCTCTGAGTGGATCTTTTCCAGTGGCTTCACCCAATATCCAAGGGACTGAAGTGCAACCTAAAACAGTGCCTTATTCTGCCCCAGTAAAAACTTTAAGCGCAGAGTTCTCTGCAGTCACTACACTTCGACCATATTTGCGGTACCAACAAACTATTATTTCCCTGTCCGTCAAGGTGATGGTCATCGCTCATCTCGCTCAGTGTCACCAGCGTCCGCCTTTTTGACAGTGATCCAATGTGGTCCATCAATGCCTTTACCATCCTGACAACTCTCTTGACACTGACAGCAACTTCCGTTTGGACACCAGTTTGACACCGAATCCTTTGATACCAATGATCCTCGGTATTAGCCATTGTCCATGGACGCACCATCCAGGCTTACAGTGGTGAACGACCCTCGATATAGACCTTTGTCCATGGATGCCCCGTCAGTGTCGATACTGGTCAGTGACCCTTGTCATTGATCGCTGTCCACCGATGCACCATTGGCATCAACAACTCAACATCGGCACCACTACTTCAAGGACCAGCCTCTTGATGTTGATGTCACTCAGCAGATGGTTAATTCACGGCACGATGCTGAAGCATCTGAACATGGCTCTAGACCCCAAACGCCATTTGTGTTACTGACATATCCAGACTCAGACCTCACAGATACAGACCCTCCATCTCCAGCAGAGTATTTTCAGAGTTATGCTCAGCTAATGGTTCACATGGCTAAATCTCGTTCTCGACACAGACAAGTCTTGATACTGCCTAATAAAGATAGTAGGCACATTGACTCTAGGGACTGGCTGCTTGTAGCTCGCTCCCGTCAAAAAGCTCAAAGAGACATCTCTTTAACCTTGTCTCTCCTCCAGGATCTCAGCCTTACAGTAAACCTACAAAAATCCATGTTAAAACCTACAAGATTGATTCATTACATAGGAGCAACTCTGGACAAATACGCTTGCGCATTTCTCCCAACAGACAAATGTCTCAATTTGGTGTCCTTACATCCATGCCTTTACCTCTCATGCGCTTGTACCTGCACTGACTGTTCAATGTATCTTAGGCACCATGGCATCCATGACTTTGGTAGTCCAGCATGTTCACCTCAAAATGAGGTCACTTCAAGCATGATTTCTTGCCTTATACATACAACCCAATGACAGATCCACCACACACCCTGCTGCAAGTCACTCCAAAACTCGCCTCCCAACTCACATGTTGGTGTTCCACTCAGAACCTGACAATGGGGTGACCCTTTCAACAACAACACCCACAAATCCAGGTTACCATAGATGCCAGCCTCACTGGCTGGTGTGCTCATAGTCAATCCCTACAGATTGTGGTGTTCCACTCAGAACCTGACAATGGGGCGACCCTTTCAACAACACGCACAAATCCAGGTTACCACAGATGCCAGCCTCACTGGCTGGGGTGCTCATAGTCAATCCCTACAGATTGACGCCCAGTGGTCACAAAGAGAGAAGTTGATCCATATCAATGAGCTAGAACTTCTAGCAGTAATAAAAGCTTGCAAGGCCTTCAGAAATCATCTTACGGTCAAGATGGTTCAAATAGCCATGGACAATACTACCACAATGTACTACATCCTCAAACAAGGAGGCACTCACTCCCCAAGCCGCCTTTGTCTTGCCATTGACCTCTGGGAATGGTGTCTCTCCCATCACATTTGCCTCACAGCAATCCACATAGCCGGTCAAGACAACAATCTGGCAGATGTTCTCAGTCGCAAGGGATCCTAAACCCACGAATGGGAGCTGAACCAATCCATTTTTTTCTCCCTATGTAAATGTTGGGGCACACCCTCCATCGATCTCTTTGCCTCCCAAAAGAACTGGAAGTACAAACGTTACTGTTCCCGCTCAGGATTTGGCAAGAACTCCGGCGGAGACACATTTGTCGGCCGTTGGCACCAGTCGCTCACTTAGCTGTTTCCACTGTTCCCGCTTATTCACAAGGTTGTAGTCCGCCTTCAGCAGGACAAGCCCAATGCCATCCTGATAGCCCTGTGGTGGCCACAACGGCCATGGTTCCCGGTTCTCCACCAGCTGTCATCTGACATCTATCACCTGCCCCGTCTGCCTCACCTGCTTACACAACACGAAAATCAAATTCTCCACCCAGTTCTCCCTGCCCTAGACCTGGCAGTGTGGAGGATTCTGCCTCCCTGATGAATGTCCTTCATCAGGCAAAGAAACCCTCAACCAGAAAAGCTTACATGTTCAAATGGAAAAAAATGTCAATCATTTAGCACAGCGTTAGCACTACCTTCAACCAATCCTTCCCTTACCAGAGTTCTTTGTTTTCTCTTGCAACTAAAAGCTAAGGGCCTTTCTCTTCCATCTCTCAAAGTCTATCTTTCTGCAATTGTCTTTTATGGCCACCAACTTCTTCAGCAGCTAAGTTTTTCAGACACACTACTCTGAAATGCTTCCTTAAAGGATTGTCACACATGTATCCTGACGTACGTCTGCCACCATCTCAATGGTCACTGACATTAGTCCTTCAGTGACTTACGAGGACCCCATTTGAGCCCCTTGCATCAATTGACCTCAGGTTACTTACCTTTAAGACAGTGTTCCTTGTGGCTATTACATCAGCACGACGTGCTAGTGAACTGGCGGCCTTGAGATCTGACTACATTTATCTCCAGTTTTACCCAGATAAGGTCATACTCTTTGTAGATATTTCCTTTCTACCTAAGGTTGTCTCCCAGTTCTACTTACCTCAACCTTTGGTTCTCTGGGTTTTTTCCCCATAGCCATCTACTCCTCAAGAAAAAATCCTCCATATTTTGGATGTGCAAAGGGCTCTTGCTTTTTACATAGCTCGTACACGACCTTTGAGATGTTCAGCTTGTCTTTTTTTGTCAACTATCAACTCCCTGCTAAGGGCCTTCAAGTCACCTCGCAGAGGATATCTGAGTGGGTTGCTTCCACCATTCAGCTTGCTTATCACCTTGCTCGACTTCCAGTCCCACAAAGTATCTGTCCCCATTTTACCAGGGCATTGGTAACATCTACGGCATTTCTTTGTGGCGTCCCCCTTCTGGATGTCTGTGCCTCTGCCACATGGTGACAGCCGTCCACATTTATCAGTCATTACAGATTGGACATTCAGCGGTTCAGCTTGCTTATCAGCTTGCTCGACTTTCAGTCCCACAAAGTATCCGTCCCCATTTTACCAGGGCATTGGTAACATCTACGGCATTTCTTTGTGGCGTCCCCCTTCTGGATGTCTGTGCCTCTGCCACATGGTGACAGCCGTCCACATTTATCAGTCATTACAGATTGACGTTCAGCGGAAATCTGATGCTGCTTTTGGATGTGCTGTGTTGTCATCTACCTTGGCGTGACACCCTCCTCCAGTTAAGACAGCTTGCTAGTCACCCACAGTGTGATTCACAGAGGCCACGAAGAACAACAGGTTAAAGGTAAAGTAAAGGTAAAGGTTCCCCTTGACAAATGTCCAGTCGTGTCTGACTCTGGGGAGCAGTGCTCATCGCCGTTTCCAAGCTGTAGAGCCAGCATTTGTCCATAGACAATTTCTGTGGTCACGTGGCCAGCTTTGTAAAAACATAAAAAACATGGAAAACGTTGTGTGGTCCCCAAAGGTTATAAAAATGTTAGAGTTACCTTTTATTGGACCACTAAAAATCAAACAAATGACATGCTTTCATGGAGAAAATTCCACTTTTTCAGGCTCAGTACAGCCCCTTCATCCACAATGCAGAAAAATTGTATACGAGTTCAAAAATTGGTGGTACGTGTCTGTAAGTGTTGATGTAAGTCCTCTGAAGCTGGGATCTCAAGCCTCTCTGCACTATTGCTTGGGATTTTTACACCTCTTTCCTAGGACCAAATGGCTGCCAGTTACTCTGTGACTGCCCCCCAACACTCATACACATTCACATTTCCTGCTTTGAAACTCTAGTTTCTTATTGGCTGTGGGGGAGGGGAAAACAGCACAAAGCCACAGCAGCCTTTGGCACATGTTTTGCTTTGTAAATGACTATATTACGTTCTGGGCATTGCTGTAGGAACATGCATGATTGCTGAGGAATTATATGGACTGTTTTTAGGAGGACAGGAGGTACGTTTGTGCTAATAATGTCTTCCCCTCCTAGATGAAGAAGAAGAAAGTGAGGAAGAGAGTGAGGAGGAGTCTAGTTTTGAGAGTGATGAAGGAGAATCAGAATCTGAGGATGAAGTCTTTGATGACACAGTTTGTCCAAAAAGTAGGTTATGGTAATTAGTAATTTTATCTGCTTTTCGAAGACAGCTGTGCATATTGACATTTCGAAACATCTTCATGTCAGATTGAAGAAGATGATGCTAATGTGTATGCCAGTTCCATCTGTTACTCTTAGAATGTACTCACGTATGAAGTACAGACAACATTGCACAAGGTTTTCTTTTTCTTTATCTTTATAATACAGATAATAGCTCTGGTTCCTTAGAGGGTTTGTGCTAATAAGTAGCTAGCAGCTAGCATTGTTAGCAGTGTGAAAGGAGTCAGTGCTAAACAAGTACCAAGCAATGTGTGATATGAAGCCTTGATGTTGTTTCCCAAGAGGACAGAGAAGCTCCTGGGAAGAATTTCACACCCATACAGAATTTTTATTTTCTAAGTGTTACTTACCCGAAAAGAAACCTCTAATGACTCAGTCGCTGAGCTAAGCTTTTGCTGCCCTCTAGTGAGCTGAGGCAATAATTTTCTCTTTTCAGATTTTTAATTTTGATTTTTCTGGAGCAGATCTATTAGTACAGATGAGGGCAGAGAGACCTATTTGTGCTTGAGGGAGATCTGCAGGGCAGTCAGTTACATCCAAATAAGGACAATAAAAACAGACTGAACTGCTTGTCAAATTAAATGTCTTGAGGGCAATAGTTCTCTCCTCTTGTTGTTCCCAACTTACAGCCAGCAGCAGACAGCCCTTGTGCCTGGGAGTATCATACAACCATCATGACTGTATGATATAGCCTTTGGGAGCATTAATCTCTAAAGCTGTTAGTTTAATCCCCCTTTAATGTTTGGTGATGGTCACAAAATCTTGTTGGTTGAATTCCATAATTTAATTGTGTCCTATATAAAAAAGCAAAGGCATTAGGGTCAAGCTTAGTTAAATTAGCTCTGTGGGCAGTTGGAGTGAAATTCACAAATATCTAAGAATTTTTCTTCTTGTGAAATTTTTCCATAACAATCTGGAAAATTATGAGGCCAGTTCAGTATACAAATAAAAAGTTTCTGGCCTTTTCCAAATCATTCCCATGATTCTCAGGAGGGCTTTTCATACTTGTTGTCCTTTTGCTTTCAGTTCAAACAACTCATCCCTCCCCGCAGCAAACAATTGATTCTGCAATAAATTGGGAGAATTGTTGTAGCCTAGTGAATATGCATGGATTATGTTCAAAATTTAGATATGAAGCCATGAAGTCAGGCAAGGAACTGGACAACAACTTTTTAGCCTTCCGTCTGCAGTACTGACATCCATATAGTTCTTCAATTGTTTTTGAGCCTTTGGGTGTAAAGCAGTAAAGAGGATAATTATTATTGTTTCAAGTGGGAGTCAGAGTTTTAATCTATAAACTACCCAGAGTATTGTTTCCACTGAAGGGGTGTGTGTGTGTGTGTTTAAATAAATGAATAAACAAACAGGAAGCAGAAAGGCTTTTAAAAAAGGGGAAAAAAAACCAAACCCAGCCATTTGTCCTTTTGCTTCTCTGTTGCATTTACTTCTAGTCCAGAAATACTAGAATTTGTTAACAAAGTTAATATGGACTGCCTTACTGAAGTATTTGTGTGTATGTTTAATTAGGAGTGGGTATCACTGTGCTGAATTGGACTTGCTCTCTAATAAATGCTCCCTCACCTCAGAGTAATTCCAGTATAATTCAGTAAGACTTAGGTTGTGATCACACAAGCATATAGCTTGCATTTTGAACTGCTTGTGCTTTGGTCTGATTCAAACTTCACATGTGCACTAGTGATGACATATGGGCCATAGTGCTTCAGCCTGACCCCAGTCTGTGCCTAAGCTAGGCCTTTTTGATTTAGGGTTACCACTTTTGGAGGCCAGGACAGAGAGATTCTCTGACAAATGGAAGTCACACTAAGGAAAACTACTTTTGGGAAAGTGACACTTTTTGGTGCAGTCATGCTCACACCGTTTTTGCCATCTGATTGCACCCTTAAATCTCAGGAAACATGCATAGGATTGTGTTCTTCAGCACTAATTCATAGCTATCTTAAAACACAAGCATATAGCAGCCAAGCTAAAATAGGACCAATTGTTTAATATGAACTCTTCCTGTTTTCAGACTGTGATGAGGCACTCTTTGAAAACACACTCCAGCTCCGTGAGAAACGGCTGGACATTGAGGAAGCATTAGCTGAGGAAAAGAAGGCCATTGAAAATGTCAAGAAAGAATACGAAGCATTCGCCAAGAAGGTACGAGGTCTTCCCTAACTCTCTATCAGTGCCTTTCTTGACCTTGTGTTTTTCCTGGGTGTTGTGCTGAAATGTGAAAACCTCAAGATAGCATGGAGCTACCACATGGTTTGAACAGAAACTATAAAACTTGAAGGCTGTTTTGGATCCCGTTAAGTCTTCCACTCGTTGCAACTTGGTACAATACTCTAAGATGTGCAAGAGTGTAAGTGAGTGTAAGTGTAGTTGATGCCTTTACATTGGTCTGCATGCAATATTTTTCATAAATACTAGTGTCTGGATCTACAGGTATAAATGACAGTATGCTGCAGAACAAGACTAATGTGGACCCCAAAGCTGCTGCCACCAATGCCAAATGCTAAATCTGATTGTGTATTAAGAGTGTGCCATGTGCCCATGTGATCACATTATTTGCTGTAGTGTAGTTGATGCCTTTACATTGGTCTGCATGCAATATTTTTCATAAATACTAGTGTCTGGATCTACAGGTATAAAGGACAGTATGCTGCAGAACAAGACTAACGTGAACCCCAAAGCTGCTGCCACCAATGCCAAATGCTAAATCTGATTGTGTATTAAGAGTGTGACATGTGCCCATGTGATCACATCATTTGCTGTGTAAAATCCAGAGTTTACAATCACTACTCTTTTTTTTTTTTTTTTACTAAAACTTCACAGTCAGTGTAGCCAGTGCTGGCTGTAGGATTCTGGGAGCTACAAATGTAACTTTTCTGAACTCTTTTATGAACTTCCACACCCCTGTGCACCCACCCTAAAAGCTACAAAACAGAAGGGAGTTTTTTATAAGAGAGAAAATAGAAAATATGCCCTAAGCACTTATTTATATAGGTGCAACAATATTAAACAGGATTTCAGGAGAATAACTGGTTCACAAGATTTCTTTCTGTTATACTTTTATAAAGTGTCTTTTGATATCAAGACAGTTTTCCAACAGATTTCTTCACTCATAAGCAAACTACTTTTTCAATGTGTGAGGTATGTTAGCTTGGCTTGAGCTGCAGTTCAGTCTTCGGAGAAGATGTCATGAAACATTTTCCTCAGTATGGCCGTATGACAAACTCAGTGTACATGTGATGCAATGCCAGCAAGAAGCATTGCAGTAGTATGATTAAGGCCTAGGTAGCTTTGGTGCAGCCATGTTGGGGTATGAATCCTATGAGTCACTAATGGCTGAAGTGCAGTACAGCTTCAGCCCTCAGCTGACCACCTGAAAAGGACTGTGTGAATCAGCCCTTCATGAAATCAGTTTGAGAATGTTCACAGAAGTTGCTAATGATCTTCATTCCCTCCCACTCACACAATCTAGCATTTCTCCTCATGTGTGGATTAGATTCACAGTATACAGCACATGCTTTGTGCTGACCTAGTTCTGTATTACAGTATAAGGTCTTCCTGTTTGAATGTGGTTTTATTTTCAACAGGTTAAAGTAGTAGCAGCCAGCCTAGATACAGCAGATTTTGAACTAGAAGCATATCAACGGGAGAAGCAGCAGAGACTGAATGAGCTTCATGTAGTGGTGCCTCTAAAACTTCATCAGGTGACAAATCAATCAGATATTGGGGTTTAAATTTGGCTTGATATTTTAAAAATTCAAATAATTAATTCTGAGAGCATTGAAAGACAATTCTTCAAATTATTTTTTCACTCAACTCTACATGGCTTTCAGTTCTTTTCCTTTGGTATTTCTAAAATATCCTAGAAATGGTTAATGTAGTTCTACCCTTCTCCATAATTCTGATGTATTTGAAATATATTTATATCCATTCTTTTGTTGATACAAGCTCAAGGTAGGTAGATTCGTATTTTGGACCACAGCTCCCAGAATTTCTCAGGTAACATGGCTATTGACCATGCTATCTAAGGAATTCCAGGAGCTGTAATCCAAAACAAACAAACAAAAAACCACACGCATGCACACATGCACACACATCTGCATGTCATTATTGCAGGGACACTGTGGATCTAAAGGCAGTTAGTTGTGTAGCCAAGCTGGACCCTCACGGGATGTGCAAAAATACAGGCAGCTGTGCTGACCGTATCATCAGACCAGTTCTGGATGCTTTCTCCTCCATCAGGAACAAGTACTTTCATGCAGTTAATGGCTCTTAATTGCTAATTCAGGAATCTATCCCTAAATACTTATTTGAAAAGCACATGTGCATTACAAAAGACATAACAATATAATGTTTCCAAGAAAATCCATTCACGTACTCCACCGTCTCTGCCCCTCCCCAGCTACTGTCAGGACATCAGGTAAGCGCAGAGAAAACAGGGATGCTTGTCTCCTTCCACCATTGTCACTGCTAGTAAAAAAAGTCCAAATGCCATTGACCATGTAATTTTTACTCAGAGAAGCTGGGATAATGCTGGGGCAAAGAGTGTCTTGTGCATTTCTGAGAAATATTTAAAATACAACAGTATAGTCTGCTCTACATGGCTATTACCTTTGTTGACAAATTCATACTCTGTGTGTGTGTGAAGTGGGGACATATATATGTAATCTGTGGTTCTCTTTGTTTCATTCTGGCAGGTGGAATACATATCAAATGGTGAAATCCTCACTGACCTCTCTCAGGCTTTGGTGTTTACCAATCAGTCCTTGGTGAACTTGCAGGAAAGGATTATGGCTCTGCAGCAGGAGAAACTAGAACAGAGGGAACTTTATAAGAAGGCTCGTGAACAACACAAACAGCTCATTCGAGACAGGAAGGAGATGATGCTTAAGATTGAGCGTGAGTTTCACTGCGTGCTACTGTTCCAGATGCTGTTTGCATGATGCATAAAGATGTTGATGAAACCAGCATAGAGCAAAGAGTGGCATTTTGGACTTTAACACCAGTTAGCAGGGATACAAGACATGGTGGGCTGTGGAGTTCTAGGCATTGTAGTCCAAAGATGTGACTTCTCACATTTGGCACAGAGAGGTGAAAAGATATATAAGGGGCCTGTTCCAGAATAAACATGGTTTCAGATTTGTGTTCAGTCGTTTAGTCATGTCCGACTCTTCGTGACCCCATGGACCAGAGCACGCCAGGCCCTCCTATCTTCCACCTCCTCCTGGAGTTGTGTCAAATTCATGTTGGTTGCTTCGATGACACTGTCCAACCATCTCATCCTCGGTCGTCCCCTTCTCCTCTTGCCTTCACACTTTCCCAACATCAAAGTCTTTTCCAAGGAGTCTTCTCTTCTCATGAGATGGCCAAAGTACTGGAGCCTCAGCTTCAGGATCTGTCCTTCCAATGAGCACTCGGGGTTGATTTCCTTTAGAATTGATAGGTTTGTTCTCTTTGCAGTCCAGGGAACTCTCAAGAGTCTTCTCCAGCACCACAATTCAAAGGCATCAATTCTTCGGCGGTCAGCTTTCTTTATGGTCCAGCTCTCACTTCCATACAACACTACAGGAAAAACCATAGCTTTGACTATTCGGACTTTTGTTGACAAGGTGATGTCTCTGCTTTTTAAGATGCTGTCAAGGTTTGTCATTGCTTTCCTCCCAAGAAGCAGGCGTCTTTTAATTTCGGGGCTGCTGTCTCCATCTGCAGTGATCATGGAGCCCAAGAAAGTAAAATCTGTCACTGCCTCCATATCTTCCCCTTCTATGTCCCAGGAGGTGATGGGACCAGTGGCCACGATCTTAGTTTTTTTGATGTTGAGTTTCAGACCGTTTTTTGCACTCTCGTCTTTCACCCTCATTACAAGGTTCTTTAGTTCCTCCTCACTTTCCGCCATCAAAGTGGTATCATCTGCATATCGGAGGTTATTGATATTTCTTCCTGCAATCTTAATTCCAGACCTACCTACCTACCTACCTACCTACCTACCTACCTACCTACCTACCTACCTACCTACCTACCTACCTACCTACCTACCTACCTACCTACCTACCTACCTAGTCTCCCTCTCCACCCGGGTGCGAGGCAGCGCTTCACGGGGCGAGGATGAGGACCCAAGAGACCCTTTCCTTCCACCCGATCCACACTCAGTGCTCCCCTAAAGGAGAAAGGCGAGACGTGGCAGGTAGAAAGAGCTGGATCATCTGGCGGCAGCAGCAGCTCCGGATCTACTGCCAGCACTGCGGCTGCAGTCGCCTTCACAGGTTTGGCTCGCTCCAGCGCCCCCCTACCGCCCCCTTCTGTTCTAGCGCCCCCACACCGCCCCTTTTCATTCTACTGCCCCCCTGAAAAATGAAATCGCCCCCTGGGTGGCATTATCGCCCACGTTAAGAACCACTGCTCTATATGACTGTGAAGGCACTTTCAACTATTTGCATCATTTCCTGCTTTGGAATGGGAACTGAAGACAGCTTCAGACATTACATTTTTAATGTGGATCCATATGGGACATCTGGCATCCTAAGCTGAAACATGTGTGTCTTGTGGATATGTGCCACAGCAAGCTCCAAATTGAAAATGTTCCTTAATGTGTCCCTGCACACAAATTATGTGCTGCTCCAAGAGAAATACATGAGATGACTGAGCAATTTAAAAACTTGTAGTAAAGCTGAAATTGATTAATATACATAAAATATTTTGAGGGTATTTCGACCCTACTCTGTGAACTGCTATGCTTGCTTGCTTCTTTAAAGCAGTTTGAGCCCATCAGTCATGTTAAAACGAGCCTTCTGATGTGGCTCATAATTCAGAATAGCTTTTTTTTAAAAATCCCAAAATTACACTTAGCAGAATGAAAACAACACAAGTAGAATTAGCAGCTTCAGACTATCTTAATTATTGGGCAGGTCTATGTGAGTGAAGGCAGCCCTAACCAGTGATTACAGTCCTAGGCAGAGCTTTTGTCTCACTCTGATTGTTTGTTACATTCCACTAGCCTTGGGATTACATTTCAGTGGTTTCTATCAAAGTTGAACCATACAGTAGCACATCATTAGAAGCAAATCTGCCCTGAGAGGTAGAAGGCATCTGTTTATTCTAGTATGACCTTGTCTCAATCCATATTGCAAAATCACTTACCCTTGACTAATCAATTAAACACAGGTTTGATTTACAAGTGAATTGCTCTGGTATGGAGTTTTGAAGGAATTGTGTGGCTGGGGAGAAAACATTGTAACAGCAGGAAATGCAGGTTTTATTTAATGGTTAAGTTGATCCTAAGAGTTGTGTGAGTGATTGCTCACTGCTTGTACAGGCATGCATCCCCACTGTGCGCAGAATATGCTGAGATTGTGGAACAGGGGACCCAAGCCTTTGTAGCAAAGATCCTTAGAAACAAATTTCTGTGACAACCAAGAGGAATACATCGCTGAAGATTTTCAGTCATCCATGTGTTGGTTGGTAAGTTTAGGTTGAAACATTTCACTACTCATCCAAGTAGCTTGTTCAGTCTGAGGAAAGTTGGTAGGAGATCCCTGGTATATCTTCCATGTTGGTTTCACTTCCTCCTTGCACATTGGTTTCAATTCTTCTTGGTCTGAACAGGCTCATTAGAAGGACACTTCTGCAGCTCTTCTCTACCCATTGTCATTGTTAACAGTTGTTAACAGTAGTCTTTCTGGCGTGTGTGGTCCTAATCTTTGTGGGGACAGATGAAAGGGCAGCATGATAAATAGGAGACAGATTGTATCTAAGGCCTCCAGCCCTGTTGAGTGAGAGATATTCTATATGCCTATGTATGGCTTCCCTGACCCCTCTCTCAAACCACCTATCTTCTCAGTCCAAAATGAGTACATCTTGGTCATCACATGAGTGTCCTTTGTCCTTCAGATGAAGGAATACTGCTGATTGTGGTCCTGAGCCATTGCCCTTCCTGTGCTGTATTTAGTGGCTATTTGGTTTCTCCAGTGAAGAACTCTGAACACTCCTCTGCATTGGACCACATATACTATATTGCTTCTTTTGTGTTTTGGTATCCGATCTTTTGGGTTGACGAATCTCTGCCTTAGTGTGTTTGTGGGTATTCAGACCAGGGGGAAGTGAAACCAATGTGGAGGCTATATCAGGGATCTCCTACCAACTCTCCTCAGATTGAAGAAGCTACTTAGATGAGTAGCAAAACATTTCAACCTAACAAGAGAGAAGTCCAATTGCCATGACTCAGCTTCCAGACAAGAGGAATATAGCACAGCTCTGCACTCACCTTTTCTAATGTTAAGTATCAAAGAGATAAAAAGCAAACTAAAACTACCAATTCCTTCATTTTTTTTCTGCATAGCAAGCTTATACTGTAAATCCTTCAGCCCATCCTAGATTAAGTTACAGGCACTACTTGCAGTGTCTTGCGCTGTCAGGATGTACAGTAGCTCAGGCAGACCTTTGCAACTGGGCTGTTCAACATGCAAAATATTTTTTATCAAGAGGAAAATAGGGAGAACAGAATACTGATGGCTTAAAAGCAAAGTTTTAATCTTATTAGGATTGGAAGAGAAATGCAATCAGTTGATGATGATGAAATTTGGCCGCATTGTTAATCTGGAAGCCCTGCAAACGCTTTCTGTTAATACAAACCTGGAAGAGCTCAAGATGAAAATGATGGAAAAGGAGCAAGCTCAAGCTCTGGACCTACAAAAATGGGAGGTAAGCCGTGGTGCTGAATCATATTGTGATGCAGCTGGACAGCCTACAAAAATGTTACGAGTTGGCTTTAGAAGTGACAAGGGACATAGCTGGATAATTTCCTTTAGGAAAATTGCCTGAAAATAACTAAATTCATTACCACACAAGTTTGAATGATGGAAGGTTAAACTGAACTCTCAGTTAGGTCCCTGGGCTTTCCTCTGAAGTAGCTCCCAGGGCTATGACTCGGTGATGGTTTTAAGGTAAATTGTAATTGATGCTGTTTATGCAGACATAATCCTTGGCCACCATGCCTTTGCCTTAACAGCTCCCTTAGGGCATTTGTGTGACCAGTGTGAGCTGTTTATTGGGCCATTTGTTGTATGCCCAATTGTTCCCTGGTTGTGCAATTGATTGTGTAACAGGCACCCCAGACAAAATGAAAAAGGCTGCCATGAATGACTATACACATGTGGAAAACTTTGGGAACAATAGGCTTTGCTTTAATTAAAAGAAACCATTATGAGAAGTTTTGATTTTTCAGTTATTTATACAGTACACTGATGAAGTAAGAGATCTTTACACCAAAGTTTTTGTGTTTTCTCCTGACCCTGTCCTTTAGTTCTTTGACTTTTTTCCACTGTGTCTTTGGCAGTTCCTAGATTCTATCATTTAATTAATTCTGTTCTCAAGTTTATATCACTCCAGCAAGTTTATGCTCTTTTCCAGGATAGAATCCTTGAGATGCGGCAACAGCTAATGACAGTCACAAAAGAAAATACTAGTAAACTGAATAAAATGAATGCATTTTGCAGAGAGAAGATGAAACTTGAAGCAAAGTTAGATTCACTACAGAATAATCTGGTATGTGTACTGCTTGGATCACTGGTTCGTAATTAGCAAACCAATAAGCACTTTGACTCGTATAGGACTCTTATAACAGTAGGCAGACCATAGTGATTTTTCTGCTTGTGTGGATAGTGGCCATATTTCTTATTTAGGTCATGCTAATTGTCTTTGGTTTATGTCCTGAATCTAAACCTATAGTTCATTCATTATATTTAATGAAGTGGAATTACCTAAAATAGTGTTCAGAAGATTCTAAATGTCATGCATATTTTGCCTGTGCAAATTATTAGTGTATGTCACTTTGCTAGAGCTATCTGGGTGGTATAAAAATTCAACATGGAATGGGACCACATTCTGTGCTGAAACAAATGAAACTGTCCCATTGTTTCCCCTGTCATGAAGAGGAATTCCTGTTTTTTGCTTTTGTAGGGAGCAGAATTCCAAAGGCCCCGTAAAGTAGACATTGAGGAGAAGGAGAAACTGATTGCATTAGTACAACTGCAAGCCCGAGAAGCCGAAGTCCTGAAGGAAGAAATTACTCTTCTAAGCAGAAAGGATGGTCGCATCTTCCCACCCACACAACCTGTATTTCAATCAGACAGCACTCTTGATTAAAAGCCTTGAATTCCCCAATTTCCACTTCATATGTAAATCAGTCCCACTGCATGAGGGTAACAGGATAGCAACTGAAATGTTAAGTGTCTGTCCGTTCACTTCAAGAGAGAAGGCAGGCAGAACTTTAACACCACAGCTTCTCCTGAGATGGGGATATCGTGACGGAGGAATCCTGGACTTCTCCAATGCCCGTCTTTTATTGAGCTGTTAAAGGCACAGACTAGTTGTAAAGGAAGACATTTATAAAAAGATAGTAAAGTGTGAGCAGTCCAATCCCTCTTGTAATTCACTTTTTAGCATTGGGCATGTGGAGGATCCCTCCTTAAAGTGTCTTCAGATAGAGAAGTTCCCTTTTAATCTGAAGGATGCTGTATGTCCCAAAACAGGCACTGTGGCAACTCTGCAGAGAAGAGACCCTGGTTCTGCTGGCATGGATCTTAGTATCTTTTCATCGAATAAAGAATTTATGTTTTAAAGAGCCTTCTCATAACGGCAGTGACAATGGACTTTCATGTTACCATGCAATTTGTGTTGCCGATAAACATTTCTAAAGTTTGGTTTTAGGGGCAAAGCTTTTGATGTCCTCTTTCACTGGTGGTCTACACCATGTAATCTTTGTCTTGCACTGCATCAGTTCTTCAAATTACCATGCAAAAACAGTAAACTATCTTTCAATACATAATTATTCTTATAGGTAAAAAAGTCACCTTTTGGCTCTGCAACTTTGCCTCTTATACTTTGGCAAGACAGATCTACATTGATTTAATTGTTAAAATATTTTTCTACCTAACTCTGATTTCAAAGGATAGCTGTTACTATAAATAAAGATTCTCTATATTCTTTGCATCAGTAAGTGCTCATGATTGTAAATAAAGTGCAATGGTTCTCCTGGATGACTCCTAATTTTGTACGTTTCACTCTGCTCCCTAGGAACAAATCATATGGCACCCTTAAGCAAATTCCCTCTATTTGTTAAAAATGTCTTAAGTGCTGAAGAAGACATGTATAGCAAAATACACATCTAAGGACTAGGCATCTACAGTATCACAATGAAAATGACTAAGGATAACATAGCAATATTGGGGAAAAGGAAAATCTTAGGAACCCTAAATAAAAACAATGCAATGTACCGTGGTTATATGTGTTGATCTTACCTCTTGCTGATCTTGGTGGAGACTGCAGTGGATTATGTTGGCAATTCTGTGTTTGCCCAAGTTTTTTTTTAAAGTATTCAGCAGAGGCAGGTTTGATCAAAGGGGAAAAACAGCCTTTATTGAAGAAGCATGGCATTGTTTTATTACAGGCAAACTATCACAGAATCTCTGTATGATATTGTATATGCTTGTTAATGTAAGTATTGTATCTATTTATATCTGTTTATTCAGTATTCTTCAGTCAGCTTCCTCCTACAGGGAGGTAAGAAATGACTCCTTTCTAGAAGTGAATCATGTAAAGATACACCTTGTTGCAGCTGGAGAATGCAGCCCTCAGCCTTATGTTTTGGTTTATTACTGTAAGACAGCTCTGATGCCTTCTCAGTTGTACGACAGCTGCCTTTTTCAGTCTATGAAGGTAAATGCTGTTGCCTCAACCTTGAATTATTCTCTTTTCTACTCTCCCCACATGGTCCCACTTCACTTCATGTTGTTGTAAAAAGCACATATACATCTATTTACAAGAGCATAAATATATAAATAGAGATGTAATACAAAAATAAATATTTCTCTGTTAAAAATAGTCTTTGTAAGGCAGATTGTTCCCTAACTGGTAGAAGGAATAGTTTCTAAGGGAACATGCAGAGGCAGACTGTTTAGATGTTTCTCTGAGCTTTCTCCCAAGCAAGCATCCCCTGGATTTGGAGGCCACATTTGTCTTCTCTCCAGGCAGACATCTGTTCTCTCTACATCTTCCACTGGTGCTAGACCAAAGCAGCACGTGGGATCTGAGAATAAAAAGAAAAGGCAATCAGAAATGTAGTCCCCTTGTCAAAGGACATATTTCTAAAATTCAAAGGGCATTCCTTCTGAAATACAGTAATGCCTCGCTTAACAAGTGCCCCGTTTAACGACGAATCCGCATAGCGATGAGGTTATATGGCAAAACATCGCTTTGCGGTGATCGGTAAGCGTTTCGCTTACCGATTTTCGCATAGCGATGTTTTAAAAACAGCTGATTGGCGGTTCCAAAATGGCTGCCGGAAAAAATGGCCACCCACAGTGTTTTTGCGCCCTTTCCTCGCTTACCAGGCAGGGAAAATGGCGGCCGGATGGAGGATTTCCCCATAGCGGTGAGTTTTGCCCCCATAGGAACACATTAAATGTGTTTTAATGCGTTCCTATGGGTTTTTTTCCCGCATAGTGACGAATCCGGATAGCAACGATTTTTTCGGCACCGCTTATCGTCGTTATGCGGGGCACCACTGTATATTTAAAACTTATATTACCCCCAACACATATATTTTAAAACAATTCTTCTTGAAAGTTTATTATTGTCTCTCAGGAAACTAGCTATTAATGTATTACTGAAATTATCAGAATACTGGTCACAATGTTCTAAAATAATCAAAAATTATAGAAAAATGAAAATGTCAAAAAACTCTGACAATGGCACATCCATCGTTTTTCATACTTCAAATTCTACTCAACCACACTGAGGAGCCCCATGAAGATCACAAAAACCTGCGCTGGCTGTAAATATTTGACATTCTTCTGATCAAAATAAGAATAGGAAAATGTTTTTTTAATATGCAATGAAAACTAATTTAGTCATCTGTGCTTCCTGAGTGACAATAGAATAATAAGTTTAAGGAGTTATACACTCCAGATGCTAACTAAATCTGATTGCCCAGAGGATCCACCATATATGCTTGTACATTGCAGTGGCATGTATGCCAGTACAAAAGCTGGTATCTCATACAAAACTTTAACTGAAAAGAAATATCCGGTATCTACCAAGCTCTAATGAATTTTCCTGCTACATATGCAAGGACTTTCACATTAAGGTTTCTTTCTGCTTGGATTAGGTTTCTCCCATGATTAAGGCATAAAGCAAAAAGGATGTCTTTCTAAAGTACCCCCTTCCACTGACCTGTATGGAAGACAGGATTCTTCGTATCTTCCACAATGGAGTTGCCCTTCCTTTGTGGCACAGAGTGACACAAGCCACAAAGTTCATTATGATGGTGGTAGGTGTTACACTGCTGAAGCAGTTGTGGTGTAGAGTCATCTGGAAGTCCATAAATAAAGGAACTGTGTTCTGGTGCAGGATTAGGGGATCTGAAAGGGACAGAAAAAGTAACTAACATTATAATCAATGTTAAGTTCTGCTGTGAATAACCTCCTCCTGTATTTGTCTTCAGTGTGGAAGGGATTGTCACTCTTGAATTGGCCTTCTCAGCCACACTAGATGCTGTTCCAAGTCCTCCATTCATAGCACATTACCATAGTCTCCCAAGACTGAAGGATGCCTAATCAACCCCCTCCCCCCATACATGATGGCTGGAGAAAGTAATACTGCAGACACATTGGCCAAATGTATAGCTTAATTACAATTCTCATATTCTAGAACCTGATACCTCTGTAGCAGTTATTTTGTAGTGGCCATAGTCTGGGAAGCTCTTTATTTTTAGCTGTGAGCTGAGACACACAGACCCAATTTGAATAATTATACCTGAATTTATGCAAGATTTGCACAAACTATTTAATTAAACTAGAAAATCACTAATTAACTGTGGCCCATAGTTTTCATTTGAGGCAGGAAATTAGTTACTGACTCTGGACAAAGCCAGGATCTTGGAATCATAGAACTGTGAATTTTAAGGGAGTCCAAGGGTCACCTAACCCCTTTGCCACTGTCAGAATATGAAATTCTGGCTTCCTTCAAAGCTATGAGCCACGGTTTGCCTTTTTGATCAAATAGGAACCTATGGTTAAGTTAGATACTTCCTTCTTGCTGCAAGCTGCAAAGCATATCACTGCTTAATAAACTAAAGTAGTATAATCTGAACAAAGCCATAGTTTACTGTCAATCTCTGAGTTATTCTGTTATCCCAATGCAAAAAGATACCTACAGCAGCAGAATAAACTGGAGTTATGATAACCAAATTGTGTGCAGCCAAAAGCAGGAATTGACAATTGTACAGATCATAAATTATAAATATGGGCACCCTTTAAAGGTGCTTTCTGTGAATATCATAGACAAATAGGAAGAAAGTTGATTAGTTTTGTGAGCCTCTAAGTCATAGGAATGACTTAGAAAAAGATGACACTAAGATGACAAGGAAAAAGGAAGAGATGGCTATGGATCTGCAATCATAAAATTCATTTGTCCTGTCTATGGATTTGTGTCATTTTTTAAAAGTATGCCATCAGTTAAATCAGAAGATGTGCTAACGAATGACTTTCTTAAGTAAACAACATTGCCAAAGAAAATATACAACAGGATACTGTTTTCCTCCATCCCAAAAAAAATAAATAAAAAAAATCATAGTATAGCTCTTTTCCATCATTTCTGTGCCACTGTGTATTGTCACTGCTCATCCAGTTTCATGGTTAAAGCCATACCTTTGGTGTTCTGCTGGAATATTTCCATTTTGAAGCACCTTCCCTTGCAGAAAAGCATTGGTCTCATTCTGCTGAGAACAGAAAGGGAAAAAAGTGTTAGAAAAAACAAAATTCCATAAGAAAATTTTGAGATCTAGAAGGGATTGGATTATGCAGCAAGATTTCAGATTTATGAATTTAAAAACAAGATACAATTTGCTTTGTACAATTTCTGCAGGCAAATGCCTGCTGAGATCTCAGTTTGTTGATTTTAAGAATCTATGTCGATTTTCCTCTGATACTACTTTCAAAGACTAAAATAGTACTTTTCAAGGGCTTTGTTTCTAATGATGATTTTCCTCTGGTGCTACTTTTCAGAGACTAAAATGTTAAATTAGAACCATTATGGTAAAGCCTGCTAAAGCTAATCCCAACCCAATAATACTGTACAAACAATTCATGATAGAAATTGAGGATTTTTGTCCTGTTCTTTGTTATTTATTTAAAGGCTCTATTTCTGTATGATCACTCAAAATCAATAGGCACACATTCTACAAGGTTCAGCACTGCTATACATATATAGATTGAAAAACAGTGTTATAGTAGAGCATTTTCTTTTGCCTTCTAAAACAAAACTGCTATAGAAGCATATCAGTGGAAAGTTAACTATGCAACCTTTCCTTGAGCCATTACGCAGAGTAAGGAGATATGAAAAGTAAAAAAGCCACCATTTGATGATGTTCTTAAAAAGTTTGTACCTGATGAACTTCATCTGGATTGTAATCATGTGCCTTTGCACTAGGATATGCAATTGTGTTTGAGGGGAAATGGCCACTGGCACCCTGGTGTGTGGGTAGATGTACACCATTTGCATAACGCAGCCCATTTGCTTGATGAGTGGAGACCCCTCGCAGTGGCACCATGGTGTATTGGCAAGATGACACAAGCAGTCCTGCTCCAGGAAAGCCAAGATCAATGGTCTGCTCTGAAATGACAAAAGGGCAGAGTAGGCAGATTAGAGTAAGAACACAGGCCTAGGAACACTGATTCTAGCATAAATGGCTCATAACATATTGGCCAGAAATCTAGCACTGATATATGCCAGTGTAATAGTGGTGAAAGGCCACAAATTAATTAGTCAAGGCTCAGTTAGCTAACAGAAATATCATTAATTCGCCACTGTGATTTATACAGTTTGACTGATGTTGGCCAGAATCTAATTACACAAGCATCACTTTAAACAAATCCATCTGGAAAGGGTGGCAGAACAAGGGCCCAAAACAGGGAAAGTACAGAATATCTTTGGCTCTTACAAGTGGACTTTTTAGACCACTAAGTGTAATTCAATTCAGACACTTTAATGCACCAAAACAGGGAAAGTACAGAATATCTTTGACTCCTACAAGTGGACTTTTTAGACCACTAATTTAGACACTTTAATGCGCATCCAATAATATATGAAAGACAGGTCTTCGGGTTATATGTTTGCAAAGTCATTGTATATTGAATCATTTCACACCTTTTTTTTCTGGAATGATGCTGGAAAAAGGGAATAACATGAACTTAGTGGGTCTCCCTCACCGTGGCCCAGAACTTTCAACCGAAGTGCAATCTGAAATCTGCACAGGCATCCTTCCTCGCTCTTTTTTCAACAGTTATAACTAGCTTTTCTCTTATTAGTCACTTACTCTGCTTAGACCAAGCCCGCCAAAGGCAAAATGGGATGAAAGCCACAATGATAAGAACGATGGAACCCAGCACCACTCCTACAATCAAGTACGGTAGATCGCTGGAGCGGGCCACCATGGCTCCTGCCCCTAAGATATTATGGCCACTGTTCAGTGGTGGATGCTGTATTGTAGATACAGTAGATGGCTGGAGACGACCAGGCAGTCCTGCAGATTTGCGAGCTTCAGGATGAAAAAAAGAGTAACTATTATGATCTGTACAAGTTGACTTTTAAATGTCTCTCTGCCTAACACCTCTATCTTACCTTCTCTTTCCCTTGATGCGCTTCTATATTTCTCTGTTACATTGTTTAAAGCAGGGGTCCCCAACCTTTTTCATCTGGCTGGGTGTGGTACTTGTGCGTGTGTTTGTGTGCATGTGCAAACAGTGGTGTGGCGCTTGCATGGGTGTGCTGGAGCACACACACATATGCAAATCAGCTGTGTGGAGGTGAGTGAATGCATGGGGGGAGGTCTGTCTCCATGGCCCGGCCCGGCTCAGGCCACGGACCGGCACCAGGCCGCAGACCAGGGGTTAGGGACTTCTGGTTTTAGGTATTAATTTCATAGGACTCACTCTGTTGCACATTCTCAGCTGAGTGCTGAATTTTGGGAACACTTTCTTTCTTTCTTTGTTTACATACATCCCGTAAATCATAGTCATAACATAATGCTTTAAAAACTTTGTAGTTTATCATTACGGTAGCTATTTCCCTGCAATTCTGTCCTTGTGATGAGTTCTGCATCTGCATAGTATCAGATTGCAGGGAAATACAGTAGTTGCAGTAATGCTAAACTACTTTTCTCATGTGTTGTGGACCCACTGAGAATTCCAAAGTCACCCATCCTCCATGGGGCCTACCTACTGACAAACGATGTATGTTACTTCTGCTTCTTGGCAAAATGGTTCACTGAAAAACAGGCTTTTTTTGTCTCAATGTGTTACATTGGCTGAAACAAAAACTACTCTAATGGCAAGACACATTAGACTGGTTGTGATCATTTTTGTCCCAGATGGTTTTTGTCTCTTTAAAAAAACTTCGTAAATGGCAGAAAGTCAAGGATGTTGTTTACAACACTTCAGATGACAATGACACAGAATGGCTACATTGTACATTTAGTTCTGTGTGGATTCCATAGCAAAAATATGACTCTGGAGCACTGAAATGTTCCATCCTTGTGGGTGAGGATTAAAGTGTATGCCCATTCAGTCAATCAGGACATTCAACAACTTCTATGGGTGTAATGTACATCCTAATGAAAAATGCTATCTTCATGTTTTTAGTTCCAAATCTGAACATAACACAATATTTTCCTATACATTGTGCTGGTCACATAATATCCACTCTAACTGAACTACCCTTTTCTTAATCTCCAAATTATTAGCATTTGCCTATTTCATGTTGCAGTTTCTCTGTCAGCAAGCACGTGGCAGATCAACGTGGACTGTCTGTTGCCTTCAGGGCTGGGTGATATCTTTTCCCATGAATACTTTATATAGCTCTTGGCAAATAAGTTCTTATCACCAGAATGCTTCCGTTTTTTTAGTAGATCCTTGCCATTTGCTCTCTTGATTTGTTTCACATCAATGAGAGATATAAACATCTATGGCAAGTATATTTCTAAATTTATACTGAATCCCTTCACAAAGTATTTGTTGGTGCTACTCATTAATTATTGGGGGCAGAGCCTCTGAGGCAACTCCAACTTCCTACTGCATTAGTTACCTTTTGTTTCACAGATCATCACATTACTGAATTCACTCTCTCCTCCCTCATTGAAACACTGCATTTTAATGTCATATGAAGTTTCTGGCTGTAGGTGGCTGATAGAATGCCAGTACCGGTCACCTGAATGGAAAGCAGCACACAAAATAATCAATTTCAGGTTTCCTCATGATCTCATTCTAGAATCATAAATGGATCTCAGCATTATCCAAAAATTATATAATAAACCATGATTCAAAATGTATAGAAATGTTTATTACACAATGATCTGAAAAAAATTGGGAAATGCCCATCAAATAATTGTTTTATTGCAGGCTGCAGTTTTATCATGATTCGCCAGAAATAATTGAATCTTGGCACCATTTAACCAAGGGACCCTTTTTTTCATGAACTCACTTTGTTTTACTATATCCATATACTGCATACATATATGGGGGGGGGAAAGACATAGTAACATATTAGAGACATTTTGTGGCTATTAACAGCTGAGTTATAACCAGTTGATCATTTTTTTACCTTCTACCACATCCTTCTTGTAGTCACTGTCATTATCACTGTCAGTTGGTCGATAATAGATATAGAAGCCATGAATTGGTGTATTGTTATTGCTGGCTGGGATGTACTGCAGGGAGAAGTAAAAAAACTGAAATTAACAAAAGTGTACATGCTCATCAAAGCAATTCTCTTTTTATGGAATAGGTGTGAGACAGAGGTAGATAAACTTCAGGTTTGTGATTTTTTTAAAAAAAAACAAACCTCAAGTGTCCAGGTGCAGCAACTAAATTCAAATGTGGAGAGTGGAATGAGATGGAGAGCAGTGACTTGGGGATCAGTCCAACTAGCTATTGCACTTGTGAGATGGGCATTGGGATGAAGTGCAATCTATATTTGAAACACTACAAAACATGGACTAACACAAAACTTCAGAAGTAACCAGGAATGCTGACGAAAACTGAGGCAGATACATAATAGCTGAAATCCTGTTATTTATTTATTTCATTTATATCCCGCTCATCTGATCAAATCGACCACTCTGAGTGGCTGTTACCTACTGTAGTATGTTTCTTCTAGAGTACACCCATTGAATCAATGAAATTTATGGAGGAGTAAAAAGGTAAAGGTTCTCCTTGCTTATTTCATTTATATCCCGCTCATCTAGGTGGCAGTGCTCATCTGCATTTCCAACCCATAAAGCTAGCGTTTATCCGCAGACAATCCTCCGTGGTCACGTGGCCAGCGTGAATAGATACAGAACACCGTTTACCTTCCCACTGAGGTGGTACCTATTTATCTACTTGCATTTTTGCATTTTGCATGCTTTCAAACCGCTAGGTTAGCGAGAGCTGGGACAAGCGACGGGAGCTCACTCCGTCACATGGATTCAATCTTACAACTGCAGGTCTTTTCACTTTGCAGCACGAAGGCTTCTGCGCTTTAACCTGTAGCGCCACCACGTCCCTTTTTATGGAGGAGCAGACTCACCAAATCACCGATTCAATGGGCCTACTCTAGTGTGACTTACTGCATAAGTAAAGGATTTCAACCAATGTTTACTACATGGCCAACCACTACTTACATTTTATCAGAAACGGTTGATGATCTACTACAAATCATCCAGATAAGCTACTTGTAAATTTTAGTTGCTCTTCTGACCACCCTGAACCTTTCTCAACAGGACCTAGTCATTCAATCAATCCTACTGTCTTCCTACCCAACTGTTTTTAGTATTTTCAGTTCAGTTCAACCTGTCTCATTTGCCAAAGGTTGCTGCCTGATACTACAGCAGTACTGTAACCCTCATTAAGATGAATCTGTTATCATGAATAAGTTATATGTCAACATTCACTTAATGGAGTCATTTAATGGACGCAAAATTGTCCTGCTTTGAATATGATAACCTGGGGTAGAAGTCTCATGGAAAAGGGTATCTTCAAAATCAGAATATAGAATTGTAATAACATAATGGGAAGAAGTTGAAGCAGGAATTCTTAGATCATTGGGGCAGTCACCTACAGTTTCTCACTGTCAACTCAGTATTCACTTTTATACCACATTTCAGAGAGGTCCAGAATAGTTTATACTTCTTGGTAGAATATCTTATGTATGGTGATTTCCCAGCCTGCTACTAGAGATTGTGTAATTGTGTCGTGCTAGGTCTTTAATCTGCAATTCCTGGGATCCTCGCATTTGCATAAAACCAAAAAGCAAGTGCTCTGTTGTTCAACTATGTCCCTCTAGGCACCTCTTATGTTTCTTAGCCCCCTTGAATGCATCTCGTCATTTGACTACTCACATCTTCTGCCTGCCTTCCTTCTTACCAAAACAAATGAACAAACTTTTTAAAACTGCACGTTTTCCAATACTTCATATTTTATGCCAGATAGGAAGAAGGTAATCTGGATTAACTCATGGATCTTTGAGTGATTTGCAGTAGGGTGACAATGATTCATCACAACTATTTTCTGGGTTATAGCAGCAACAAAGCTTCAGATAACCAGCAGTAGAATTTTGTGTGTAAAATAGTTCCATTAATTTTGGTATTCAAAACAAATTCTTGGGCCCAGCACTGTTTAATTTCACAATTTTTGCACTAGGCTTCAGTTGTACAAGAACACTCCAGAGTAAGAGAACACTCAAATATCTAGAAGCACCCAGCATTGTTATGTAATGGGTTCAGAGGAGAAGCAAAGCAGCAGAAAAATCTAAGGGAAGATACCAAGAATTATAATTCAGAATTAGTAATATTCACCACAATGTTAACAGCCATCATCCTGAAAAAAGCACTGAGCAATCTTGACTGAACAGTTTGCCATTAATTAAAAAACAAAACAAAAATCCATGCTTTCTGCTTCCCAATTCTTCTATACTCCTTACCATCCACTTCAGCATAATGGTGGTCTCATTGATGGCATCAGTGAAGGTGATATATGGTCCTGCGACAGGACGTGCATATACCCTGTTGCTGTAGCCTGAAACCACATGTGGCTTAGATGCAGCACTTGGCTCACTCTCCCCCAGTATGTTCAATGCTCGCACCCGGAATTTGTAGGAGGTGCCTGGAATGTGGAATGGAAACACAATAGAGAAGAAAGGTGACCAGGGAAGTGACATCTGACCTTGGTAATACCCTTGTTAATCTCTTCCTGAAAACTGAGCCATGCCACATTAGCAGGTGTAAAAAGTCATACTGAAGAGCTGGCTTGACCTAAGAAAACAACAGCAATAGCCTGATTTTGGCTGTTTGAAGACTGGCTCAGTCAATGGCCGGTTTTTAAGAGTTTCAGTTTTTTGGGCTCATTTTGACTGGTCAAGAGGTCATACCTGCATCTTAGTCTAGTTACATAAAAGAGGCTGAATGTCAAACTACACACTATATAGAAAGGTACCTCAATGCCTTTTTGAAAAATAAAACATGACAACTTGCTTCAGAGAACGACATTTGGGAATGGAAAAATGGGAGTTGGGATAAAGCCGCCTTGTTCTTTTTCTTCCTGCAGTACCTACAAAAGTACATCTGTGAGATTCGAAACATGGAAAAAGGAGAGGCTACTGGGGATGATGAAAATGTGGAATAGAGAAACTGGGAGGCAGGGCAGTGACAAGCGTCAAGTTCTCTTTTCCCAACTCCCTATCCCAAAGTAACTTTTTATGTGAAAAGAAACACCACACACAAGTGTTGCACATATTTGCATGCAATGTGTAATTTGGCATGTCAGGAAAAAAAACACCTCTCAGCAGAATCATTGTCAAATGCAGGAAAATATCTAGAGTTCTTCAGCTCTCTGGAAGATACACATGAATTGGTAATTGGCTCTGAAATTATTCTTTCTCCTTTGCAAAGATAATGTCACCAAATAGCATGAACCCATTACAAGAAATACAACCCCCCCCCCCATTTGCTAGGAAAAGAAGGCCTCCTACCTTTCTCTAGTCCTGTAATTTCCACAGAGAGACGGGAAGGGGGAATGTCACTTGTGGCTAGTCCCCAGTCCCCAGGCTTCTTCAGTTTCTTGTATTCCACTCGGAATGACTGAATGGGGAAACCCCCATTTCCACGAGGAATCCAAGTTACATAGACAGATGTCTCAGATGCCATAGAGATGGTAGGACGATCTGGGGCCTCTGGTGCTGTAAGGAATAAGAGAATTGTGTTTGCAGATTTAATATCAATCACCCAGTTTCAAACTGGAAATGCTAAGCTGTGGCCAAACTTCCCTGCTAGTGGGGATGCCATATCTCCTGTGGGGGTTTCAAGTCAATGCCCAGAAAATCATTGACTTCCTCAAAACTGAAACAAAGGTTGCATGATGTGCTCATGGAATGGCTATAGAGGATTTTTCCTGCATTTAAGCATGGCCATGGACCACTGTGAGTCATAAGAAATCTAGGCTGGACAAACTTTGGAGCCCTAGTACTTTTACACAGTGCAGCTGTCACTATTTGAGACAAATACACACAGAGAGATAAAGATTTTCACTCTGAAAAGATGGTCTCATTTTTTTTTCAAGGGAAATTATCATTCCATAAATTTAAAGTCCTATTTTATTTTGTTTAAGTAGATGGGAGCGATCAGTGATCTAGTGATGTAATGCATCTGCTGACTCTATACTGACTACAACTCTATACAGCACAAAGCCAATATTCCCTTTTTCTAGGAAAAAATATTCAGGAAAAATAAGTGTGCAATGTTTCATGAAATTAGCCCTTATTACTGGATGCATTTTAAAATGGATTTTCATTTTCAACACTGGTATTCTTTTTTCATTAGCTTAAGGTATTTGGCAGTTAATTGGGCAGGCATTTGTCAGAAAAACAGTCATGTCACTAAGACTTTGAAAAGAAAGGTGACCCAGCAAGGACTGGAGAACAAAAGCAGCAATGAGCAATCTCTTTTTCTGTTGCTTGTTCAGCCCTCACTTTTTCTCAGTGGCATGGCAATCAAACCTTGTCCAGCTCCACTTTTCCACATTTATTATAGCTTCTCTACCCAGAAAACCTCTTCTGCTGCAAATGGGGCGAAGTCTTACGGGATAGGCGAGTACTGTCTGACTGGTTGCTGCTTCGTGGGCTAGTGCCTGGGTCATCCTTCTGAATCTGCTGCTCTTTACTGGCAACTATATCTGGTTTGGGTCGTCGTCCTAATGCAGATAAGAATAATTTGTAGAATCATATTAACAAAGATTATGAGGACCAATGATGTCTAGTGACAACAGCTCTGAGGAATATACTTACCACTATTCTGTGGGAGCTAACATTCCAAGACCTCAAATAGATGCAGGATTTTAATATGTGTCTCATGCAATAAAGGAACACAATGCCAAGAGTAAACCAATGGAAGTTCTGCTATCTCCACAATATTGTCCTTCAAATGACATTTTCAAGCTGATGGGCTACATCCCAGAGAGACATCCTATGTTTCAGTTATGCATGGCTTCAGAATGTTATATTAATTTTCTTGGAAATATATTTCCAAGTTCTCTATCACCTTATTCCTGCGGCCTAAGTCTTTGCATCTTTACTTAGAATCAGGGTGGGTTGATACTAAAGACTTGTTTGATAGCTTGGTGAGTTAGGTATCCAGCTATAGAGCCAAAGATTGGAAGTTCAATTCCTTACTGTGTCTCCCAGGAGAAAAGCTTGTCTATGTAGCCTTAAGCAAGCTGCAAAGTCCCAGGACATCCCCAGAAGAAGAGAATGGTAAACCACTTCCAAGTACTTTATACCTAAAAAAACCCCCTGGAAATGGTTGTCATAAATTGGAGCCAACTTGATGGCATGTGATTATTATTACTTAGAAATAAGGCATATTGCCTGTCAGGCAATGATTGCCATGTAAAAATGGAGTGTATAATAAACATTAGTAGAAAGGGAGCAAGGAAAGGAGACTTCTAAATGGCAAAATTCTTAGCATAAAGAGATAGCTAAAGCCAGACCTCATAAAGAGGTAAATTGCATACCTAAGGAAAGCACCGTAATGCTTACCAGTTCTAAAGGTCACCATTGCTGTTTGCCCTTCTCCAGCACAATTGTAGGCAGCCATTTCAACCTCATACAAACTTCCTGGATCCAATTTCATTAGCGTCAGATGATGTTGATTGGCAGGGACATCCTGGACTGTCCAGTTCTCAGAAGAATTCATTACCTGTTGAACAACAAGCTCAGTCATACATGGATTCCAGCAGCACTCTTTATAGAAAGTAAATGGGCTGTAAACAGTTTTTTTGCTGAAACAGTAACTATACTTAACCAAGAGCTACTCAAGCAATTGCATATTTCTTACTTGTTTGCCTCTGCCTGCCTTTCTGTACTCTTCCTCTGTTACTTTTCCTGTGCTGAACTGCAAATTTAGATGACACTCAAATCTTACTAGTTTCAAGCTACTTTGCTTTATATGAACCTTTACACTCCCATGTTCTCATGAAACCGTTCATTAGAGACACAGAAGTGGAAAATAATATTGCTTTTTCTACAAACCAAAAACAAATTGGTGCCAAATGAAAATTAGCAATTTCTCAGACCAGGAATAGTACCATGTGATAATCATAAAACACAAAGATTTGTCATCAAGAACTAGGAAAAAAAAACAAAACAAACTCTGAGTGAATCCTCCTCACACTTCTAAGACTTTGGGCTCTCTTTAGGCACTGAAGTGCTATTCTGAGGACCCCAAGTAGGAAAAGCAAGTTTGGGAAAAATTACTGGCACTGATGGCTGGAGAAAACCTAAGCTGTCACTGAAAAAAAATCTTCAAACCATGCTATTATTGCAGCATGTAGACATTCCTGGTCATTGACTGTAATAAATACTTCCAGAGCTTGACACACACTGGCTGGAATTGTTACCTAGTATAGTAAGTTGCTCTAGAGTAGGCCCATTGAATCAAATTTGGTGAGCTCTTTATAAGTCCCATTAATGCAAATGGGCCTACTCTAATCCAGCTTACCATACTAAACAACAGGATTTCGGCCACTGTGTTTGCCCATTTGTATGAAGCCACAGTTACTGTACTCCTTTACACATCTACTGCCATGGTGCATCCCTAAAGCCTCCTGAGTAAGAGGATCATGTATCCTGGCCTGTGCAGCCAGGAAGGATTTAGGAAGTGGCAGTTCCTTTGCCACAGACCTCCCTGCCACCTTAGGATTGTGCTGTGAAAGGTAAATATAAATAACATTAACTATAAAGGAAAATATAGAGGAAATAATAACCGGAAAACTATAAAAAATACAACAAAAGCATCAATAAGATTAAAACAGCATCTAAAGACTTGTGGAATAAAGAAATGCTTTTTACCTATGCCAAAAAACAACAAGACAGGCACAAGACAAATCTATCTGGGAAAGAGGTGCCACCACCAAGACGACACTCTTGGGAAGCAACCCACCTCACCTCAGATGGAGACGGGTACTTACAGAAACCCTTCACTAACTAAGTTGATGTAGAATCATAGAATAATGGAGTTGGAAGAAGCCTACAAGGCCATTGAGTCCAACCTCCTGCTCAATGCAGGAATCTAACTCAAAGTATGTCTGAAAGATGGCTGTATAATTTTCTTTTGAATGCTTCCGGTGTTGGAGCTATTACCACCCCCAAAAGCAATTGGTTCCATTGTCATACTGGCTTCCTGTAGCTTGAGCCCATTATTATGTGTTCTGCAGTCTGGGATGATCAAGAACAGATCCTGTCCCTCCTCTGTATGACAATCTTTTAAGTATTTGAAAAGTGCTATCGTAATTCCCCTAAGTGTTATTTTCTCAAAGCTAAAAATGCCCAGTTCTTTCAGTCTTTCCTCACAGGGCTTGGTTTCCAGTCCCCTGATCATCCTTGTTGCCCTCCTCTGAACTTCTTCCACTTTGTTGGCATCCCTCTTAAAATAAGTCCTATTTTTCTATTCTTAAAATAGCCGCCTAGAGTGGTCGAGTAGATCAGATAGGCTGCGTATAAATCAAATAAATAAATAAAGTTGTCCAAAATCGAACACAATATTAGAGATGAGGCCTAACCAGTGCCAAATAGAGGGGGACTAGTACCTCACAGGATCTGGAGACTATATTGCTGCTATAGTCTAAAATAGAATTTGTTCTTTTTTCAATCATATTGCACTGTTGGCTCATATTCAGCTTGTGATCTACAACAATCCCATTTATTTGTTTGTTTGTTTGTTTGTACCCCGCCCATTTAGACAACGTCTACTCTGGGCGGCTAACAATAAAAATAGAGTAAAAGCAGTCTAATATATCAGAACAACAATTTAACAACAACAACAATATCATTCAAGATGGAAAAATAGAAATCAAGAGGTGACATGAGGGAAGGCCTGCCTAAAGAGCCAGGTAGATCTCGAAGGGGAGACTGTTTCAAAGGTGAGGGGCCACTGCCGAGAAGGCCTGGTTTCTTGTTCTTTCTCTCCGGGCCTCCCTAGGTGTTAGGCCCCTCAGCCGCCCCTCCTGGCTAGAGCAAGTGATACAAGTAGATTTAGGTGGGAGGAGGCATTCCGCTAGATACTGAGGTTTTTCTCCTTTGTCTCTCCTTTTCTTTTATCTCTTCCTTCAGTAGACCCTTTCCTTGCTACCTCTCTTCGTCAAACTTGTGTTAGCTCTCCCTGTTTGCTTGCTCTTGTTGCTTGTTCCCTGGGGTCAGTCTCAGTTTTATTCCTTTGCTTTGCTCTGATAGGAGTCAACAAACAGAAAATGTACAGGAAAGGGTAAACATTTCCTTCTCATTCACTGAACTTCTGTATCTCTTGGTAATATTATTCTCATCTTACAACATTCACATGCATACAGTATGTACACAAAGAGCCATGCTCCTCTTTATACCTCCTTTGTCTTTAAGTTGTAATCATAATGTTATTATTGTGTGGCAGAGTAAATCAACATCCTACAAGGCAATTCTAAAAAATGGGAGCAGATCAAACAAAAAACTGTAACTTTTAATAATAAGCTTTGGATCTGATAATGTTGAAAAAGAGTACTGATATCTCCTTTGTGTTTGAATGAACATAAGAACCCTGGTGGATCAAGCCAAGGGCCCATCTAGTCCAGCTTTCTGTATCTCACACTGGCCCCACCAGATGCCTCTGGGAGCATACGAGACAACTAAATACCTATCTCCTGATGCCCCTCCCCTGCACCTGACATTTTAAGGTAGCTTCCTTTTAAGCCTGGATATTATACATCTCCATCATGGCTTGTAACCTGCGATGGACTTTTCCTTTAGGAATCTGTCTAATACCCTTTTCAAGGTATCTAGGTCAGATTCCATCACTACATCCTATGGCAAGGAGTTCCACAGATTAACAACACACTGGGTAAATAAATATTTTCTTTTGTCTGTTCTCACTCTCCTAACACTCAATGAGAAGTATTTAACTAATTAAAAAAGGAGTCATGTTCTGGGATTTTCCCTTGCTTAGTGTATCTTTGTGAATGGTAGTGAGTATAAGAGGGTATCCTAAAGACCATCTTGACTGCTGAAATTGGCGTCAAATTCAGACCGCCCTCTGCAACTTAAAGATTAGTATCCTTTTTTATGACATTTTAAATGATAGATAGATAGATGGATAGATGGATAGATGGATGGATGGATGGATGGATGGATGGATGGATGGATGGATAGATAGATAGATAGATAGATAGATAGATAGATAGATAGATAGATAGATGGATGGATGGATGGATGGATGGATGGATGGATGGATGGATGGATGGATGGATGGATGGATGGATGGATGGATGGATGGATGGATGGATGGATGGATGGATGGATGGATGGATGGATAGATAGATAGATAGATAGATAGATAGATAGATAGATAGATAGATAGATAGATAGATAGATAGATAGATAGATAGATAGCGATACATGCAATTATAGATACATTCATAATCCAGAGGATTTTTGAAGAATTGAATAATAATTCATGCTGAAAATATACATATATGAGAAGTGCTAACTGTTCTAGTGTGGTGCTCACCTCTATAAAAGTATTCTGACAGAGAATTTCAAATGTTTTACAAATCATTGCTATGATATTTGATTAAAAGATTACAACACAGTCCAAGACAATATATTTCAGTGCTGGTATGAAATATATCTATAGCTTAAGTGAACACATGCCAGAGTATGTTTATTGTAATGAGCTCTAATATAATATCTATTCACCATCTTGCTAAACCCAGTTTCTTTATTATAAAAAGAACATTTCAAAGTATCTGGTAAGCTCTGTAAAAACAGCAGTTGCACAAGGGTTAACAGGAACAGGCTCCATCTGTAAAGACCTTTAAGACACAAGAAAAGAGCCTCCAGCTGAGAATTTGCTCTGTGCTGGAAACATATTAGTGCCAAGTGCAGTGACCCATGGTGACTCCTTCTGACCCAAGAACCTTCCAGGTGAAGATTTTGGAAAAAAAGGGACCTCAATCAAAAAAGCCAAGAAAGGACAAATTGCCACTTGCAAGCCATGATCCTGTGATGGTCTGGAATCACTCACACTCTTGGACAGGTGATTGGAGCTGCATTCTGTCTTAGCAAGAGGAGTAAATTCAGTGTAAAAAAAGCAACTTTTAAAAATATTAGACAGTATCTCAGAGAGAACAGCTAGGATGTCTCTTGTTTTTAATTTTTTCTTGTTCCACATTACCCAGTTAGGAGTTTCAAAAGACTTATACAACGCAAAAAAACAGGTATACTGTAAATGCCACATTTGAGTGCGGTGTATGTATAACTATAGCATTTATTTATCAGTCCACCTGCTAACCAAAAACTTAATTTGCACCAGTACAACTTCCTCACCATGCTGATAGCGATAAATGTTCCTCTCCACTTGATAAATGCCAGGAGACAGAACAGGCATCCTCTCAGTAAACAAAATGTCAGACATAGCTTACTGATTTTGTCAGAATTTCGGAGGTTAAGCACAGAAAGCTTAGTTAGTACTTGAAAGGCAGACTACCAGGGATCTTCAAGTAGAACTAGAAAAGGCTCATGCTTGAAATCCGGGGAAGCTGATGTCAGTCAGAGTTAACAATACTGGGCTATATGTAACAATATCTGATTTCAATATATTCAGCTTACAATATTCCTAGAAGCAGAGAAGCTATAATTCAGCAGTATTAATAAGTACAGATGGTACAGAAGTATTAAAAGAACTCAGAAATATGCTAACCTTCCGATGTTTCACAATGTAGTAAAGGACAGGGGCTCGGCCATCATGTCGTGGTTTCCACAGCAATTCATATGAATCAGTTTTGGTAGTCCGGGGAGAGCTGAGGATGACAGGGGCCTCTGCTGGAGATACAAACTCTTTGGGGGTGCACTGCACAGACACTGCTGGTGCTGTGGGCCTGGGTCTTGGAAGGATGGCTCTCTCTTTCAGCACTTTTTCACTGCTGGTAAGTCTGGAAGGTGATGTGGCAGAAAGAGCCAAGTCTGTGATTGAGCCCCATGGTGGCTTTGGAGTTGTTTCTGGAAAGGAAGAGGGAATACAATTGCCATTTTAAACATTTGCACTAATGCACATATATCAGTTTCTGTCATGCCCAACAGCCAACAAAAGTGAATCTGAGACAGAAGCTATCACATGGACCTTTACTGTGCATTACATGGCTTGCTTTTGGCTTAATATTATGATCACCTCTTGTAACAAAATCAGCAACAGACTTTATCAAATGGTGGTTAAAAACTAAGTGCCCATAATTTTAATAGTCTAATTGTCTAAACTAAATTCAAATATTATCCCACAAACACTTAAATTCGGTAGTGAACTACACATATATTGTACACATACTGTGCAATCTTTTTACAGGTTATGTTCTGGTTGTGTGCAGATGTGTGCAGAACTTTCAATATCGTGGCAATGGATATGATTTCCAAAGAACAAAGAATAAGTAGCAGTACTAGGAAGGGAACTAATTATGTCATGTTTGTGTCTTATAGTTAAATTATTTAACTGCTTTTCTGATTTTCATGAGACATTTATAATTTTTTAAAACCTTATCTTAGTATTGCAGTTGCAATCAACGGCAGAGTATAAATTATCTTATCAGTCTATAAATAAGCTGAGCAATTTAAAAGGCAGAACCAGGTACAGGGAACTATAAAATAAAGCAGCTTAGTCGTTTGAACCAGCAGCAGATGTAGTCAAGGCCAATCTAGCTTCTGAGACTTGAACAGACACACTTTGTATGTGTCCCATTATTTCCTTTACAATATTTCAGAAGTTAGAAATTTACTAAGGTAAGCTCCTTAGGATATTTTATTCAGAATCAGAATCTACACTGAGTTGTGTGACATGGTTTACATATGAGTCCACAACCATATGTATTCTTAAACAGGCCCTTATCATTTCACTGAAAACTTACCGGGCTTGGCAATTCTCAGTTGTACCATGGCTTGCGCACTCCCAACTTCATTCTCTGCCATGCACTGGTATATTCCTTCATCCTCAGGCCCCACACTGGAGACTCTCAGGGCTCTGCGAGTCAGCAGCATTCGATGGCTGGGGAAAAGAGGAACTGCGTTCCGCAGCCACACTACTGATGGCTGGGGGTTACCTCGAACCTTACAGGTGAACTTTGCATTCTGGCCCCAGGTGATAATCTGCTGAGATATTTCCATGCTAACCTCTGGAGGTTCTGAAAATAAAATAAATGTACATTCCAAGTTACTTGAGGACTGGAGTAAAAGCTCTGAAATATATAGTGCTAAACTGTGAAATATTTGCAGCTGCCCGCTTAAGATGCCATGTTATGTTCAGGATTTTATGGAGACAGTGGTATCCTGAAGTATTTCTCCATGCAAATAAGCACCATGCTTGTCTACAAGTATCACACAATGTATTCTTGATGCATTTGAATACACACCCTTGAGAGATAAGCAATTTCTAGTGCCTGCTCTATGTTGAGAAGCTCCAGAGTGGAAAACAAATGAAGCTGTTCTTTCATCAAATCCCACCAAGAACATTCTAATTCTTTTCTTGGGCTAATAATTAAGATTGTTAAGACCTAGGTAGATTACTCATGTATTGAACTCTGGAAACCAACCTGTTCATAAACAAATGCCCATCTTGTGCATTTCTTCTGTATGAATAGGTACTAGGTACTCCTACCAAATTAGGGTTATGGTACATTCACATGAATGAGGAGAAGAAGACTGTTTAGCCCTTACAAAGTGTTTAGCCCTTACAGTGACTGCTCACTACCACACTACTTTCTCTTAGAAGTGTCACATGAAATATGCCTTTTTGTTTTGTAGATACTTAAGTTAGGCTCAAGTGAGATACAGTTTGCTACTCTTTCTTGAGAGTGTTAAAATTCACATTAAAACAATTCTGAAGAGAACAAGCACATGGGATTATCCAAGCAGTCTCTGGACAATGCCTGTAGCTGCTGTGGAAGAGAAGAAGGAAATTGCAGCTGCACTTACCAAACACTTGAACATTGTAGAGTATGAATGCTGCTGCAGCTTCTCCCACTCCATTGTCAGCCATACAACTGTAGGTCCCTGAGTCTTCTTCACTGATTGTATCGATTAGGAGATTGCTGAGAAGGAACCGGGTCTTGTTGTAGCTAGAGACATTGAAACCATCCTTAGCCCATGTGACACGTGGAGGGGGAATTCCACTAGCTACACATTCAAGAATAAGGCTCTGTCCCTTGGTAACAATGATGGTCTGAGCTTCTGGTGGATAAATTATACGTGCTGCCTCAGCTGTTGAGCCTGGTGGGAAAAAACAAGAGGAAAATGTGAAAGATAAGATTCTTACAAAACAGAATGACACCAACAAATTCATTCTATAGGGAAAAAAATTGACTAATGAGAAAGATCCAACTGGAAATCACAAGCTGGAACTAGAGCTTCAGCAACTTGGCCACCAACAACATACATTTTAAAAGAAGGCTTTCACGTATTAATTTAAGGGCATTCCACCCAATAAGATAATAAACTTGTATTTTGTGATTATTTAACACTGTTAAATAATACACAAAATTCACAGTGTATCACAGTTTTGGTAACATTTAACTTAACCACAATATTGTGAGAAAGGGCAGCCTGAAAAAAGAGCCTGGAAAATTTCTGACTTACGTTTCACACGAAGTCTCTCACTAGACACAGATGTTTTCACTTCCTGGGTGACGGGGTTGTAGGCTGCACATTTGTAAGTTCCTTCATCATCCTGACTAGCATTAACTATCTGAAGATTCCCTGATGGCATGATCAAGTAATTGTCTGTGAAAACAAAAGAGAAGAAGATTAGAACCATGTCATGAGGGAACGAACTTCTGTGCTGTTTGGTTCCTAAATAATATATACCTGGACTGGGCAGCTTCAATGTGCAAAAAGCTATTTTTCAGATCGGTTGACAGTTCAGGGACTACATTTCCAAATGGAACAGCCAAAATGGACAATTAACATTCTTCTATTGTTTTTAATTTTTAACAATTACAGTGTTTTGTCACTTGAATGGAATGTAAATGCAAGATAATAATTACATGCCTCAAGTCAATTCCGACTTACAGGGGCCTTTTCCAGGGTCTTCTAGGCAGAGAATACATAGAAGAGGTTCACCATTCTCTTCTTCTGGGGGCACCCTGGGACTGTGCAGCTGGCACAAGCTGGCTCTTCCCACGGGAGGCACAGTGAGGAACTGAACTCTCAAACTCTGGCTCTGCAGTCATACACTGAGTCTCATATGGCATGGATGAGCAAAGCACAGCCTGAAGACTAAATATGCTGCCTGAAGAGTTCCACTATGACCCAAGCTCCCCAAACCCTCCACCTTTTCTTTGCCTGAAATGGACAATAGTGCCCTCTACAGAGTATAACCCAGAGTATTCACTGGAAGGACAGATCCTGAAGCTGAGGCTCCAATACTCTGGCCATCTCATGAGAAGAGAAAACACCCTGGGAAAGACCCAGATCTTGGGAAAGTGTGAAGGCAAGAAGAGAAGGGGACAACAGAGGACGAGATGGTTGGACAGTGTCATCGAAGCTACCAACATGAATTTGACCCAACTCCAGGAGGCAGTGGAAGACAGGAGGCTCTGATGTGCTCTGGTCCATGGGGTCACAAAGAGTTGGACACGACTAAACAACAACAACAACAACAACGAGTATAACTGGCCATTTCAGGCTGATACAACTGTTGTAGTTACCACCTGTTTAGAAAAATCAAGTGTGGTTGTGGAAATGGCCCAAAATTGCTCACTGTGCCCTTAGAGTATACAGTTGACTATTTGGGAGCACCAACAGTTATTCTGAATTTAAAAAGTAGGAGAGTCACAGGAGTATGGATGGTGCAGATCTCCAGTGATGACTATCTCCTGAACCCCTGAAGTTTCCCACTGCCGTTGCAAAGCAATTTTATAAAGGAAGAGCCCTTAACCTAGTTTGGAGTAAAAAGAAGCTCAGTTTTTAAAAAATCTGTAGTTTTCCTGGCAAATATTTTATATATTTTTATACAGATTTAATTTCTGAGCAGCATCCGGCAGGGATTACTCCCTAGGATGTATGTCTAAGATTCAAAGCTAAGAGGGGTAAGTGGCTGTGTATTACAGTGGTGCCCCTCATGACGACGATAATCTGTTCTGTTAAAATCACTGTACAGTGAAATCGTCATCATGCCAAAAAAACCCCATTGAAATGCACTGAAAACTGGTTAATGTGTTCCAATGGGGAAATACCTCCTCATGCAGCGAAGATCGCCCATAGAGAACCGCCGATCAGGTGTTTAAAATCGCTGTCTTCCGAAACTTCTGTCCGGAAAACAGCCATTTTGCGAAGGGAGGGAAGCCATTTTGTAGAGTCGGAAAAAACATGGTTTTGCGAACAAACAGTTCGTGAAGCAAGGACCTAATCAACATAAAGTGGATTTCCCCCATAGGAACCATCATTTTGCGATCGCAATAGCAATCGCAAAAAAGTCATTGTCAAGCGATTTCGTCGTTTACCGGGGTAAACGTCTAGCGGGGCACCACTGTACTTTGAAAGAAAGAAGTAGAATGGTTATATATGGACAGATCCCTATATGTGGGATATCTTTTGCATATTATTTTGTTTTCTATCACCTTTCAGTTATCACTGAGGCAAAGGTCAGATATTACTACAGTGTTATGAGAGCTGCTTCCTTTTTATCAAGTTTCACACCACTGTGGTAACAGATGAGTTGAGGCCCTCACTATCGCTCTTTAGCAAATATTATATACCACAGAAGAGATTGTTTTTGTTTTTTTGTAATTAGTGCTGAAATTCAGTACGTCTCAAAAGACATGTGGCTTGGCATTGGAATACTATAATCAGAGTGGCTTATTTTTATGAACAGATTTATCAGGGGAATGACACTAGGTCCCTTTAACTGCAAATCATGTCTGTGCTTTTGTCAGCAAATACCATGGAAGACAGGCAAAATAGAATAGAATAGAGCTACAGTGAGAAAACAAAATAATATGCAAAATATATATTACATATAGGAATTTGCCCACATATAACCATTTTACTTTCTCTCAAAGTGATACATAGCCACTTTCAAGTATGAAATATTACAAAACTTTTCAAAAGCTATTTGTGTTTTATCAATGAGACCACACTGTCTCCTTTGACCATGGCATGGGCTTCAAGTGTTTGAGGATGGTGGACTGACATACGTGTGACACAAACAAAGAATAATGGGAGTAGCAGAGAGGACTCCAGTTCCAAGCCATTCAAAACAAACTCAAGTTCAGACTGACTCTTCCATCCTGCTGCTTGGTACTTTTGCACTAATCTGGTGCAAGGGAGGGCAATCTTGCTTGGAATTGATCCAAGAAAATATCCTCTGTTGCCTCAAAGATTCCTTCCATGAATGTGGGCCACAGCAGATTTGCCCATTCTTGCATTTTCTAGCAGTCATATCTACTTTTCACAGTTGCATTTTTAGAATCATGACAATAACAGAAACAATTATGAAATTGCTATGGGGTGAACAAGAAGAATTTGCAAGTGTGAAGTCCAGTTTACTATTCACAGAACCACAATAATGCTGAGAATATATATTACATATATTGACAGCAGCTAGAATAGTATGGGCTCAATACTGGAAAATTGAAAAATCTCCATTAGAAGAAAAAATTGTACAAAAAGATCTTATATTGTGCAGAGATGGATAGATTGACAATAACAATTAAAGGGAAAGAGGATTCGGGATATGATCAAAAGTGGAATAAAATATATGAGTGGCTAGAGGAAAGAAATAAAGTATAGAGACAAATGAGACATGATATGATATGAACAATTTGATGTATATCCTGTGAACATGACGAATGACAATGGAAATGTTTTTATGTGTTATAAAAAATAAATTACAAAATAATAAAGTTGAGAATAGTGATTAAATAGGGCCTTCTTGGCTGTTGCTCCCCAACTTTGGAACACCCTCCCTATAGAGATCTGCCTGGCTCCAACACTTTTGGCTTTTTGGTGCCAGGCAAAGATCTTTCTGTTTAGCCAGCATTTTAATTAAATAGTATCATTTAGCTGGCCATATGAGCAGCAGGATTTATTAATATTAATATTTTATGACTGTTTTAATATAGGGATTATTATAATACTCTCTATTTTTAATGGTTTTGATGTTTTTAAAGTTTTAATATTGTTGTACACTGCTCAGAGAACATTAGTAATGGTGTGGCTAAAAAAATAAGAAAAAGTAAGAAGCTATCAAAAATTACAAGAAACCAAGAAAAAAAGCAGACACTTGTTCCAATGTTTTTACTTTCCCTAGTTAGTTACAGCTCACCTCTGGAAGCTTCCAGCCATTCTTGTTTCACACTGTAGCGAACTTGGGCCTTTGGATGGCTTTCAGGAAGATCGCATGCTATCACAGCTGTATTTCCCTCATCAACTTCTATCACATGTTGGCCGTAATATTTGAAGTCTTTGAGATCTATTAAGAAGATGGTCGAGGATTAGTTAAAAGCGGGAAGTTAGCCTTTACATACAGGCAACAAGGTGAATTCCGAACACAAAATAAATCAATTTAAAAGGAATCATGAGAGGCTTGAGGAAGATTAAAACTTTCTCATCTACCATTTGAAAAACAAAACAAAACAAAGCCAGCTTTTACAATATGCAGGTCTCTGAAGTGGGATACAAATAATCAAAATACTGGTTATTTGATACCATCCAATCCTAAACCTGGATGAAAATATCAAGGTACTTGATACAAGGAGAACATGAGGTCCTCAACCCTCAGTTTCCTTCATACAAGAAAGAAAGAAAGAAAGAAAGAAAGAAAGAAAGAAAGAAAGAAAGAAAGAAAGAAAGAAAGAAAGAAAGAAAGAAAGAAAGAAAGAAAGAAAGAAAGAAAGAAAGAAAGAGGTCTGGTCTCTGGAAGTGATTGATATTTGAGAGTGATTCCCTCCCCCAACGTTTGGGTTTTAAGAGGTTGGGGAAGCTTGTGGAGCAGCAGTGTGCTGCCTGCAAGACCACATACAGCCTCCGGGCCACTCTTTGCCAGTCTTAATCTACAAGTATTGCACAAATCTATCATACATTAGGGCACCAACTTCAAGCAAAAATAGCACTGACTTTTCATTCTTAGTCCTGATGTAGAGTAGCACTAGTTTTGCTTTTTCTCCTTAAAGTTCTGGAGAATTCTCAAAACTATCTGCTATAACCAAACAATCCTTAAACAGCTATCAAAACACTTTGTAAAATAAGCTTTGTCTCTGACCATATGGAATTACTGTTCTCAACATAAAAAAGGTTTTAAATGGGTTGATGCGACTTTAGCACAAACATAAAACTATCAACTAATCTTCAAATAAAATATTTTAAATGCTGTCTACTTAGTCTGGGCTTAGTGATTTAAAGGTAAATAGTAATTGAGAATGTGACTATATTACTACTTCCTAATTTCACTGTTCTGTCAGATGGTTAATTCATTCATCTAGTCTATATTTAACTTACATAAAAATAAATTTCAGGCAATGTATCCTCTGATTTTCTCATGTACGTGACTTCACCCCTGCACGTGCACACAACTCTGCACCACCCTTTGCACGGTTCTGTTGTGACCGGAACTAAAGAGATTGAACATGATTGCTGCGTGGAGGAGGCTGAAAGCTGCGCGGAGGGAGGTGGAGTCACATGCGCACAGCTTAGAGGGAACCTTAATTTCAGGGCAATATAGGTACATCGTTAATCATCAATACTAAAGTCACAACACCATAAACAATAAAACTGAGAAATGGTTTTAACAATATTCAAAAAAACCAAATGATATAACAATTTAAAATCTCTGGGTAAAGAAAGAAGTCTTGACCCAGTGCTGAAAAATATACAAAGTTGGCGACAGCCTCCAAGTGGAATAAATGTCTCCATTTTGAACCACATCTCCTTATCCTAGTTCCACTGAAAATATATTACAACTGAATTTATATCCAAGCAAGCTTGTAACTGTTTCTCACATCCTTTATAGGTTAGTGATGTGGTCCTAGTCTGGAACTTCATGAAAACAGGACTGGAACCCAGTTGGTCAGAACCTTTCATCACTTTAGTCGCTGAATTAAATCATGAGTTAGACTGAGACATGCAGTCATAAGATTGCACATCTGTAGTCTGACAGCGTGATAGTCAGACCATTAGTTGTCAATAAATGAATGTTTTACCCACTGTATTAAGAAAGACAAAGGAAGCTAAACACCATTCTGTTATGTCAGGGGTGGGCAACATGCAGTCTCTGGGCTGCATGAAGTCCTCTAGGATCCAAATGTAGTCCTCAGTTCCTTCAATCCTCAACAATTATTTCTAGAAACAAATGTGCTCCGAAAATCCCCTCTAGGGGATATGGAGGCAATTGTGCCATGTTTTAAACAGCTCACAGCATCTTTGAGGCCTCTCACAACTATTCTTTTAAAATGGTCAATAGAGGGCACAATTGAACATTTTCAGTAAAAACAAAAACACTATAAGAAATTAGGGGATGGCTGATCACAGGTGTGAATTCAGTTCTCCAAGGTCCAGAAATGGGTATATACAGCCCCCAATCTCTCCTTTATACACTGCAGACCACATACACACAGTTGAGCTGGATCAGTGAATCTAAACCCATGGGTTTGCATATGTTTCTGATGTACAACTCTCAGAATCCATCATACTGCCCCGCTAGCAGGAGTTTCTTGGACCTGGAACTTAACAAGTATCTGTGGACCCAAAATTGTGCTGGACAGTTTCAGTCAAAACCATTTTTTACCTGAAATTACTGGGAAAATCTTTGCTTTTTTTTTTTTAAAGGAAACAGTGTTTTTCAACAGAAGCTGAAAATAAAGAGCAACTCATAGTCTAGTATCCTATTCAATACTTATATGTGTGCAGAACTCTAGTAGTGGAAGGTGCTGCAAGTGATCTAACAAGGTGTCGGTTACACATAAGCAGCACCTTGTCATATGTCTGTAGCTGGACTTCTACAAACATGAATACTGAGCAAGGTATCTGAATGGATATGCAAATAGCAGGGAACTCTGACCATTCATTAGTAATCTTACTGCTGTGTTCAATGAAATGCAATGAAAATGTAATAAATGCACAAGACTGTTAGCCCAAAACGTTTAATGAAATGTTTAGAAGTCCCCAAAAGTCTTAGTCATGCTTTCTTAATAACACTGGACAATCTGGTGTTGCAATGGCTTTTAGTTGGGGGGATCACAGATTATATCTGAAAAAACATAATATGATATACCACAAAAATACAAGAATGCAATGATTAAACTTGTTCCTAATATTATCTTGGGAAGACAATGTTGCGAACTCTCTTCACCCTCCAAAAAAGGAAACATTTTTCAGGCAGAGCAAATAATAAGTATAATATTTCACAGACCACACCTTCTTTATCTCTAGGCTAGACTTCTGTGCTAGTCCCTGGCTCATACGGTGTTCTTAGGAGGTAAACAGCCAACACAGAGGTTCTTTGAAAAAGAGAACGAGTAAAGCAAATCAAGAGGGATGGATCAGTTTCACTCTAGAATGCAACTGACGTGACACCTGCCCTGAAATGTCTGCCTGTCAGTACATTTAGAAATCAGGAGGGAATATTCACAAAAGCTCTCCCCAAAGCCAGTTTTTAAAAATAAAAATAGAAAATCCTTCCTCCTCTTCCTCTCTTAGCCATTTCTATTACTCTATCTGTACTTCTTAACCCTCTACAAAGGCTTTTAAGACAGAGAGAACTACCTGAAGACATCTCATAATAACTTTGTAGGTCTCTTCTATAGCAATCATCTCCCCTTGTTCCCACAGAACAAACAGTAGTTCCTAAGGTATAACACCCCCATGTAAAGTTCACAAGGATAATGCTGAGGCTCCAATGCCCTACAGTTAACCTGTTAGAGCACTGATTTCCAGCAGTGAGACAAGATCCATCAGCTGGCTATAGCTGTCTGAGAGCAGCTTGCCAGTTTATTAGTGGGACTCAAAACAGGAAAAAAAAGTTTGAGAGGATCTGTAACAGAATGCTGTAATAACTCCTGAGAGTTCATAGGAAAACTCAAATTTAGTCCTCATAGTTCCTTGTGTCTCTGTCTTTCCTCAACAGACAAGTCCTGAATAAACTGAATACCTTCAGCCAACAGAATCCACTAATCCACATTGTGTTTGTCAGGGTGTCCTTTATCCTCCATTATCTCAATATGTTCAGTAAGAGGGAAATGGAAGAATGAGAAAGAAATGGTGCTTTATTCTTATGATGTTCCAATGCATGTGGTTGATCAAGATGATGGATTGCTCAGTGGTTTGAGATATCTAGCTGTGGAGCCAGAGGTTTGCAGTTCAGTTCCTCACTGTGCCTCCTTGACTGGGCTGATGATCCATAGGGTTCCTCCTAGCTCTGTAATTCTGAGATGATGATGATTATATTTGTGCTACTCTTCTAATATTTGTGCCAGACTACCCCAAACTACACGTTTTTGTATGCAGGAGTCAGGTATATGAATGCAAGGATATTTAAGGAGCACTAAGCATTCATATAAACATGAAACTATTATTGGGGGTGGAGGCTATGAGAAGTTTGATGTATGTTTGGAAAAGGCTGAGCACTAAAATGAAGGCATGCCCCACACAGAAAACGCTAAGGATTATCAGGTGTAAAGCCTAAGACAGTAAGTTCCTTTACTTTCAGGCAATTAGTTACACAAAAAGGAAATTCTACCAGACACAAGTAGCACAACAATGCTGTCCTGAGATAACAAAAGCTGTAGCAATACTGCATACTGAACTACTTCTTAATTTCATACTCCATCTCCAGACCATATTCTGTAATGGAGAAAAGAAGCAATCCATCTAAAATCAAGCCATCTGAAAAGATGCTATATTCCTCTTTCTCATTCTTATATCTTAATCATCTTGGTTTTGGCTCATGAATGTTGATAGCTGAAAGCCCAGACTTTTAGACTCTCTTAATATCACATGTGACAGTAAGTTGTGTACAGTTGAACTGGATCAATGCAAGTATTTAGGCAACCGAGAAAGGAAAAACTAGAACAGCCTGTGAACTCAAAACTATGGCCAAGCCTCTACTGGCAGACTGGAAGAGTGGAAAAATATGTTTTCATTCTCTGGGATTTATACCAGCTCTCCAAGAGTAAAAGACAGCTTTGGCTCCAAGGTTCTCCCACCCACGCTCATGGAAAAGTGACATGAAATTTCTCAAACAGGCTAATTAAAGCAAGATTGCTTCAAAAACATTTCAAAATAAAAAACAGCTTCCTTGGCAGGATGGCAAAAAGCCTCCCCAAACACAAAATGTATTAGCTGTCAGTGCTAGTGCTTGGATTCAAAAAGGAAAGAAGTAGAGACACCAAAGACATGAGAGTGACTTGCAGCAAACATGTTTAATACTTCAAGAATGTCTTGGCATCATACAACTAAATAATAATAATAAACATAGCG